ATGAATATGGCTTTCCACTTCCTCGTCCTTTGACAGGACGCACATTGTAACCATTGTGTTACTGTCAGCAGAAAGCTCCTCCGGTTTTCACTATGGTTTTCTGAGTAACGTCGTGAAGATCACAAAGAAATATAAGACTTGAATTTATTTTGTCAAATGCAATGTTTATCTCTTCATGTGGTTTACTAAAGTTGATATCTTGACTTGAAAATATTAACTTTGTCAGATCACAAGATGAAATATTATTAAACATATTTTATTGTCCAAAAAGACAAAGGGCAGCACTTATTGCCGCCTTCTCCCTATATACAGTTATACATAATATTGCATAATGAAAATGAACAATTTACAGTTGAAGCTTCACATTGTGCGCAATATATATACAGTGCTCATATGAAGGATATGTACAATGTGCTGGAAAGTGAAGACAGTGTGCATCTCATACATATCCTTATATTATACATTTTAGTGTTGAATATAGATTTAACAATATTAATGATTAACCGTTTGGAAACAATAATATGCTAGCTACTGAATCTGTTAATCGTTTCTATAAATTTGTGTACAGACAAGAATATTTTTGTATTTAGGAAAACAAGTTTGGATCACCAAAAAGAATACTATGTAGAGTTTTTTGTCCTCCAAGATTATCGATAGCTGTCAGTAATGTCTCCCTAAAATCATCATATAAGGTACATTCGAAAAAGAAATGGAATGAATTTTCACAAGGAGCATGCTATACAAGGAGCATGAGATAAGTTTTATGCTATCATCGTTATTTGAAAAGGAAAACAAATTTCTTCTATGTATTTATATTGTTTTATTTTTTCTCGTTTTGATTGAATTATAAAAAAATATCAAAATGATCACACCACTTGACTTGATTGAAATAAACTAAAGTTCTAAAGATAGTTAACAATAGTAAAATATTACATCATAACAATATAATTATTGCAAAATGACACAGTAAGCACAACTATAATCTTATATATAAATTGATATGATTAATAATCAATAATACATTGCAATTGCTTGCACAAAAGAAATCTTTTTGTTTTAAAAGTTTCAAAACATGTTTGTGGACATAAAACCAGATGGGTTTCACAATTAAACAAAGGGAATAAATGAGTTATGATTGCAATACGCATGGGAATTAAAAATAATTCTTTTTATACTTTAAAATTTTAGTAATGTCAATATCAATTTATGCATTGAAATATTTGAATACAAACTGTTAAAGAGTTATCTGTTTCTGTAAATTATATAAAGATCACATGTAGATTGAACATTTACTGGCCATTAATTAGTTGGGTTTTTGTTCATTTCATGACATGATTAAATTGGTACAGTAAAGCAAATATCATTTTGGTAGAAATATTAATTGTTACCAAAATTGCAGATCAAACTGTACCTTACTTTAAATATTTACACACCCTTTATGTAATAATTCAGTTGAAATAATACACCTCATGCTATCTAATCTGTCAACATTGACAATCAGAATAACAACTGTTCATAATCACAACAGCACAAGAAGATCTAGAGGTCTAATATTTTATTGGAATGCATTTGAGTCCATTACAATTAACATCAAATACGCAACTGATGCAAACTTCTGATTTGTTACGATTGTAAATTCTCAGTAGGTTACAATTTGATACATTATATCAACATATCAATTTAGTTAGTTTCTGACATATATCTAGATATGGTCAAAAGGTCAATATTTCGACTTCAAATACAACCCGCAAAGTTATTTAAACTCACAATAAATAGTTTTGCTTAATGGTGTGTAAACAATGAATTATTCTTTACAAGATTTCAGTAGCATTTGTATTAAGTCTGTTCAGCTACTATAAACTGCACTTGGAGTTACCAGGTGGTCATGGATATTTTAAATTGAAATCACAACACAACGGCCAGACTCAAATTTATGTCGGTAAGGAGACCAAATAACAGTAGAATAGTTTGTCAATAAGAATAATGTTCAATACTTACGATAAATGTACCGGGATGGTTAAATTGTCACAGTTTGTCCCGATTGCGTGCCTTGTTGACATCTCCATGTGTTTCATGTGCTATCCAGCCTTCAACTTCTGCTCTCCAAGCCTTGCTTTCAAACCGGAAGTAGCGAAGTGTGTCTCTTAATATTTATGCGTGACCCTGGGGTCAAACTCCAACATTCCATAAGGGGTATGACGTCATATTTTGTTGACCATTGTCGTATGACGTCGTGTATTGTTCATGACGTCACAGATTGAACTGCGGGTGCGTTGCAAAGCGCCAATCGCTTGTAAGCGATGTACAGCGATTCGCCTCACAACAGTGCGCTAACTTATAGCCGCTTGCAAGCGAAACAATCGCTGGCTGAGGTCGCTTCGTTGTCAAACCAAAATGGCGGCTGACTTTGACAGCGGAAGAAGAAATTCTTGACTGGATCAACGAGGAAATGAGCAAAGGCAGCTGACACCCCATCATCCTCAGTCTGCTCCACATTTTCAAAGTAGTCATAAATTTCATCAGCTCGTCATCGAGCCTCTTCTATTATGATCTTCATAACGTCAAGGCAACCAAGCGGTAGTTGCGCCGCCATTTTGGAAGAGTGCGCAAGCGCTTCCAACTGTTGCAGACCTCGGGATGAGCGATAAATTTGCTTTCTCTTAGCGATTCGTGGCTTGCAACGCCTATTGTTAAGATGGCGTCATGTAATCAATTTGTGACGTCATAAACAATGGAAGACATGTCGCATTTTCCCGACGATGAAGCGTTGTGGCGTATTATGGAGTCAACTGCCCAATCAGCATTGAGAATCGCTAAACTGAACATCTGAAAATATTGGACAGTTATTACACGATCATTCTACCATTATGGGTGAACAAGGTACGAATTAAGCTGACACACCGTGATATAACTGGAATTTTGTTCAAGGCGGCATTAAACCCAACTCACCCACTCACTCACTCACTCACTCCGTGGGTAATAAAGAGCAACGTGCTCGGGACGCACACCGATATTACACGAGTCGGGGACAGATAATTCCATATAACTTCTCACATTTCGTTGCTTATTCTCCAAATGAAACATAGTTGGATGAAATATAGAATCCAGACAACTTTGCAGTTTTTGCACATATGCACTTCAGCCATTCTAAAAAAATGATTGGTCAGTTATAGCAAAAGGTCGTAATACAGCATCCGGGTACCCTGGGTCAGAGCCGAGAGGCCATGCGGCTGCACGCTTGATACATGACGATGTATGCCACCAAACAACAGGATTACTTCAGAGAAGAATTTGTAACCGTCGTCATATACATGTAGCTGGAATATTGCTGAGTGCGGCGTTAAACAACAAATAAACGAAACAAAAAAGTGAGGAATGTTTAGGTTTGAACGTCCATCCATGTTTTTTTCTTGAAACGATTATGGTTATGTGCAGATTGACCGACTCTAAACTCGGCATTGCCAATTTTCTGTTTCCCGAATACATGCATGTTGTTAGCCCCGGCGTTACGTACACCATTAATTTATCTCGAGACCGGTAACCATAATTTAGCTTTGGTCTTTGATTATTTTCTGAGGAATGTGTTGCATTTGTAAATGCTATATACATACAACTGACTGGATGTTTTTGTCAATACATCGACGTCACGTGTGACCCGTTGATCACAGACATCGCTACTTGCTATGCAGAGTTATATCCCTTAGGTCTGCCAGGATAATTGATCGAGAGTTCGAGTCCCATATTCACGTGGCCTCCGGTATGATCGATGGATTTTTAATTCCGTGGTCGGTGTCAGTACTGAAACCCTGCTCGGGACGCCATTAAGCCCAACTCACTCATTTCCGTACAACGCCATAGTTCCTTCCCCATTAGAATATTTCAGAAATAGCAATACAATTTCAGATGCAGCGTTATAGCAGTATCCATTCAGTCAAAAGCATCCTCAAGTACAGATACGTCACGTGACCCCTTATATGCACTTGTAGCAAGGGTTATTTTGGCTGAGAAGGAATATGCGAGAAAGTCCCAATTGGCATCAAACCGAAAAGATAATTTTCCATTGCATATTATTTTCACATTGCCATGCTGTGCACTCATTGCAATCGCTACTGGTATTCATATATGGTAGGTGCAGTTCTGTTATTGATTGTTGAAATAGCTTGTGCAACTCAAGCGTATAACGAAATCATAGCAAACAAATATCATGTCCTAAACGTGTGATGTTCTATTGATTGCTTCTCGCCGAAGGTGCTTACCATATGATTTAGATCAATTAGATTATCAAGATAGTAACCCAGTGTTTTCTCACACTGAAGTTGTTGTGATGAGAGGATCTCTACCCCTCGGGACTTGGCTTAGAATATGCCCCAGCATTCAACTGCAAGTCTTGATAGCCGGATAAACTGGAAACCAGTGGGAATGCCAGGTTAGAATTGTTTCCTTGTAGTGTGCTAGTATTGTTTTACGCCGCGTTTAGCACCAACAATAATCACGACGGGGGCACCAGAAATGGGCTTCACACATTGTAGCTCTATGAGGAATCGTGTCTACTGCGCGACGAGCGAACACTTTAATCGCTAGGCTACCCCACCACCCCTGGTTCCTTGTTACCTATGCAGAGTTGCGTCCCTTGGGCACGCTAGCAACCTATGGTTGTGAGTTCGAATCCCGGTTTGCCCCGATTATGTTTCTAGGTTTGTCAGCACCATACCCCTGCTCGTAGGTTTCACCGAAGTGGTAAATGTCTAAGACCTGCATCACTTGGGGCTTTCCTCCCACATTAAGCTGACACGCCGTGATATGACTGGAATACTGTTAAAAGCGGCGTTAAACACAACTCACCCACTCATTTACTGTTACCTATGCTACATGGTCGTATACATGAGTGGCGACTTTATGGATCGGGTGGTCAGGCTCGGTGACTTTGTAGATCGTTGCTCGCTCATGCCTCTATTAAGGCGGATCACGGAATTTATAAAACATTTTTTTGCTTTCCACAGGGCGGCCGAGCGAGCTGCATGGACTTCAGATGAAGATAGCAGATAAATACAACGTACACGAAATCACACGCAGGCTCCAGGTACCCAGTATTCTGCTCAGTAGTTATGATCGGGAGTATGGGTGATCCGGCCCAGCACCTGTGCTACAGTTGCACCCCTTTGTCATTCCAGGATCCGGTGATTGTGGCTTCGAATCTAAGTTATGGTCCTTTGTTTGGGCTTAAGGTCTACGACCTGCTTCAGTTTGGACACTTCTTTGACATTAAGCCAGCACGGTAACGTCGGTCTATTTGAAGTTAACTTTCTGGATAATTCAATGTAATAAAGCAGATCATTTTTAACACATTCATGATGATATTCATCTATTCAGGGTTGTATTCCGATCACCCAGAATCACTGATCTACTGGTGGAATCACTGATCTACTGGTGGAATCACTGATCTACTGGTGGAATCACTGGTCTACTGGTGGAATCACTGATCTACTGGTGGAATCACTGGTCTACTGGTGGAATCACTGATCTACTGGTGGAATCACTGGTCTACTGGTGGAATCACTGATCTACTGGTGGAATCACTGATCTACTGGTGGAATCACCGATCTACTGGTGGAATCACTGATCTACTGGTGGAATCACTGATCTACTGGTGGAATCACTGATCTACTGGTGGAATCAGTGTCCTATGTGGCGACATGCCACACGTTCCACACAACTGTGGTTTGGCCACGCGAGGTTTAGATGCCCAAGACACCGTAATTCGCTTTGCCGAGTAGCTACCGTCAGTCGTACCAGAATCCAATGGTCAATTATGATCGTTAGTTTATCAGCATATCTCGAATATCCTTCTCCAGTATCATATTATGTTCACCAGGATGACGGCAGTCAGCAGTTTTCCAGCTATCTGACAGCGGCCATGGGGTCCGACCATTTGTGTGTGTGTGTGTGTGTGTGTGTGTGTGTGTGTGTGTGTGTGTGTGTGTGATAGATAGAGGGGGGGGGGATTCTTGAAAAAAGGTTATGGTGCTTCAGACTGTTAAATTTGGTTTATACAACACCAAGAGTGGTGGGGTAGCCTAGTGGTTAAAGCGTTCGCTTGTCACACCGAAGCCCTGGGTTTGCTTCCCAACATGGGTACAATGTATGAAGACCATTTACCCCGCCGTCATATTGCTGGAATATTGCTAAAAGCGGAGTAAGACCATACTAACTCACTCACTCTATTACGACAGGCCAAAAGCCCAAGCGGCATGACTAAACTGTGACTAACACCTGAACCATCACATTAAGTTCCTCTACCTAAAATGCCGACGTGGCACTAGCCAGACAATACAGCGAAAGTAATGTTTGAGTCAATCCTGTTTCAGCTGGACGGACCTGAGTTGAGTAACCTGAGGGACAGGTCGGATATGACAAAATACCAGGTAGGCTAAATATAATGTTTGTTTATTTGTTTGTTGTTTAACGTCGCCCTCGGCAATATTCCAGCTATATGGCGGAGGTCTGTAAATAATCGAGTCTGGACCAGACAATCCAGTGATTGACACCATGAGCATCGATCCACGCACTTTGGATACGATGACATGCATCAGCCAAGTCAGCGAGCCTGACCACCCGATCCCGTTAGTCGCCTCTTACGACAAGCATAGTCGCCTTTTACAGCAAGCATGGGTTGCTGAAGACCTAGTCTACCCCGTATCTTCAGTGGTCTAAATCTAATGTGTAATAGTTTGAAAATAAATGATCTTATATAATTCAAACTCACACTCACCACCCACCATTGCAGGTAAATTAGTTAAATCATGTTTAACCATCTATTTGGAGTGGGACTGAGTTTAGCCATATCAATAACTCATGGAATCACATTTTACTTACCCGGTGACAGGTCGGGTAGGTTGTAGGATGCTATGCTACGTACATGCACTAGCAAACACTTCTCTCTGTTTCAGTACTCCTTTGAACTAGAACGCCGTGTTCTGCAGAGAATCGACGTAAACAACTTGATGCAGTCGGCATCGTAGGGCAGCTTACAGAGGAATAGACTACCCAGATCTGTGACCAGGAACGCCTTTCATGTTACGTTGGCTCTTTAGCACAAACAAAATAATCTCATCTGTTGCATGTTATTTTGTGTACAAGGCAATGCTATCATTATGATGTTTACGTTCCCTTCCTGTTACGGTTCAGCTTTCTATCCCGTGCTGTATATAGGTCTGTAGATTCTGAAGAATTTGTCTGCATTTATTTCTGTCTATTTAGCTTTTTTCTTTTGTGTGTGTGTGATATGGTACCTGTTGGACTGCATAATTCATCGACGTATCTCCATCAATGCCCCATAAGACCATAATACCATTCATTGTTATGGTTTTGGAAACCTTGATCCTTAACCAAAATCTGTCGGCATCACTCCTATGGTCAACTGTCTTGCCCAACTACAGTACAGCCATGGTTTATTGTACTGATTGACTCAGACTGATTACACTGATAAGTGCTTAAACATCCTTTCTATGACCATGATGAGGAAACGGATGAATCACAGTAACATTCACGACCTATTCTACTCTTTGATCCACGGGGGATTATCTGTCTTGGATAGTTTTGTCAGAAATGGCGGCTCACTAAAGATCAATGGTCCAAACCGGAAGTCTCTCCTGATTGGATGCATTGAAGAGGATCAACAACGTATGTTCTATAGGTGTCTTCAGTTAGGTGTGGATGTTTCAGCAGCTGATGAATTTGGAAAAACTGCATTACACTGGGCGTGTGTGGAGGGGAAGCTTGAGTTTGTGAAGGCCCTGCTTGCGCGTGGAGCAAATGTAGATCAGAACGACAAGGAGTTGAAAACATGTCTGATGCTAGCCGCGAAGAACGATCATTATGAAATCGTAGAACAACTTTGTAGATCAGGTTGTAATGTCAATGTCAAAGATGAAGATGGCGTTTCTGCTTTACATTTTGCTTCTCAAATGATGCAGACAGAGACTGTGAAATTGTTACTGCAGTATGGTGCTGATAGTTCAGTCAAAACTGACCGGGCAGAGTCCCCAATAACTTTCTGTCTGGCCAACAAAGACATTAAGACTGTTCAGATTCTCCTCGAATCAAATGCGAGCTTTGCTGAAGGCGAAACATTTTCTCGAGATCTACTAAACGCTGTGGACAGAAATTATACAGATGCAGTACAGTTACTCCTTTCTTCTGGTGTAGATCCGTGTCCAGACAACGTATGCAATTCCTTTAAGACAATAATAGTATCAAATTTCACATGGCCAATACTACGTAGTGCTCTTATGTCAGAATACGGCTACCTTACATCTTCCGGTACTGAAAACAAACTGGTGCGACACATAGTCAGTAATCACATGTTTGAGAAAGGATCACAAATTTTGGAACTAGCATTTTTGTATGGCCTACAGATCACCAGCTCGGGGAACATGTGGGTTTGTTCAAAGGGTTTATCTACATGTATTTGTAGGACGTATGTGTCAACGATCAAGGACGAGAAAGGATACCAAATGCTCAGCTTGAAGATGCTGTGTAGAACCAGGATCAGATGTGGTTTGGGTCTGGGTGTGGTTCGGAAGGTGAAGACGCTACCTCTGCCCAGTAGGCTCCAGCGATACTTGTGTTTCTCTAGAGAATATTGCCTTGATAAGCCACTGCTATAATGGTCAACACCGATGCAATCGTAATAGGACCAAGGGCACAATATGGGAAGCCCCTTTATAGTGTGCCCCGCTGTGATATTGCTGGAATATTGCTGAAAGTGTCGTAAATCCATACTCACTCTCTCTAGTCGCTACGTTAATTAGCTTATCAGTAACCAGGCATGAGGCAGTATGATGGTCGCGGGATGTATGATTTTGGAGAGTATATATTTGATATCTGTATATGTAAATAATAGAAAACGTTATTGTTGTTTGTAATAAGCTTCGAAAACCGCAATTACATTGATATGCGAATTGGTTAAATTGGAACATGGGTATATATATTTTTCTAAATAAATAAATAATATATGACTGAAAGATGGAGTTATATTTTTCAGTTCCCTGCACAAGATGGAATCCCTACGCCTTCCACGTTGCAGTACAAATTGCTTAAGTGTCAACCTACCCGCACATGTAGGTTACCAGTCGTATTCTTTCAACAATGCACACTAATAATCAGCATAGATTTACAGATATCCAACAGTAAGAAGAGTTTTCTGACCCGCAGCCCACATAGAAAGTATTCATTCAATCTTGCTTTAGAAAAACAAAATCACTCCAGTGTTCCTGGTTTTAATTTGGCGGATCAATAATTACACGAGAATCGATGACCACTTAGTAATCAGGTGTGACGTTTTTGTACGCACCGTGCAGGTACGTACGTTGCCAAACTCTGTTGATGAAGGTTTTAAATCTTCTTTTTTCCCAACCGCTTTGCCTTTGTCAGGGTAGACCCCAAACAAACACGTTGGATGTTCAGTGTTTAACGCTGCACTCTACAATATTCCACATTGGGATAATCTACCAATAACGGGATCGGGTGGTCAGGCTCGCTGACTTGGTTGATGCATGTCATCGTCTCATGATATCAATCACTGGATTGTCTGGTCCAGACTCGATTCTTTACAGACCGCCGTCAAAACGGCATCACAAAGATAAGTATGGCAAGCAATGACGCATTCTATCATGAAACCGTGGTAATTCTGTTTTTTATCAAACTATTAATATCTTCATGCTTATCCGACACTTCGTCCAGTATGGCTATGACTGGCAGGAACGAAAAGATGCAATTCACCGCTATGTCGACGAGCTGGTTAACTGCTATACATACGAGATGCAGTTCACACACAATACATTTCCCATTGCATAACATCTTTTCGACATCACAGACATCGTTCAATACACCTAATAGCTACGTGAGGACCTCGTTTAGCAATAACAGGATACCCAACCCTTCGACTGATGGGGACATTTGTAGGCGTTTACACTAAAGGGCAACTGATAAATGATTTACAGTACAGATACGTAAACATTGAAAATCCGGGTCATATCGATCTGTGGAGCTAACAGCGGAAGCCTGGATGAGTACGTGAATGTAATTTTAATCCGCAGACAGAAATATTCCAGCTATATCACGGAGGATTGTACGTAATCCCGCCTGGCATGCGGTCTGTAGTTGTTAAAAGCATGACCAACTACTATCTGTGCCCAGTACGATGTCGGATGACACTATTTGTAAGAGATACACATAGTGGGTTAATGACCACCCTGTCTTTATTTTGGTAGGGTCTTCCGACAAACAATAGGTGCTGGAGACCTATTCTGACCAGGATTCACCTTGGGGGTAAGGGAACACAGCAGTAGAAACTCATTTTGATCAATAGTCCCTATAATGAACATTGATTTATGAAAACCTTCAAATCGTTCGTAATGAAAACTTGTCTTGTGAAAGGACTGGAGGAAATTACAAGTATTTGTATGGTTGTTCTGTAAGAATGGGATACCTTATCCTTATCCATTGGGGAACTGTAGTCCTCGCCACTTGACACGGAATCACGAAATAACGCGATGATTAATTGACGAAGATAGCTTCACGTGTGCTAAAACAAGCCATTCCGCCGAGTATTTCTTACAGTAATGACAAAAAATACAAGTCTGCTTTTCAAAAGATGTCAATTTTCTTCGCTATAAACATCATCACTGAGGATCGGCAGTCAGGTGACTGCTCGCGACTAAATTTAGTAGCGTGCAGCGTACGTACATTACCAGCACGAAGTGATAGAAAAGTACCTACAGAGTAGTATAAAAAACGACGTTGACCAAGATCACTGCTAAATTTTACCGCTCGCAGTCACCTGACTGTTGATTATTACCCTGATCGAAGCCACCTTATAAAACTCAATGTTTATCGCTAAGAAAATGGACATTTCTTTAAAAGTACACTTTGCAATTTTTGTCATTACTGTAGGTAATATTCCTTATCAACGGAATGGCTTGTTTTCACGTTATAAGTATTAACACACGTGCAGTTATCTTCGTGAATTAATCATGGCGTTTTTCGTGATTCTATTTCAAGTGGCGAGGACTACAATACCAGGTTCTAACGCAGAGGCATGCAGCTACTCAACGACACTGAATAGTACATGGTTCAATAAGTCAAAGTGTTTCACAATTTATAAAATTAGTTTAATGACAGTAAGTAAATATACATCATGCATAATGTTTGTAAGTGCACAGATATGTAAAACCACGTTGAATGAAGAGTTAAGTGCGCCCCGACCAGTTCTTTGAAACTGAGAAAGGGAAATCAGTTTCCAGTGTCTTTGATATGGTCCTTTGAATCAATAACGGTTGCATTCTGAAAATAGGAAACATAATGTCACTTCAAGTGAAAATATTAGTCAATATTGATTTAGCTGTCTGAAAAACCCTGTCACTTTGACTTAGAATTCAAGGTTCAAGAACTGAGAGTGGCCTCCTCTGGGGACATATATATGATTAATAAGGCCACATCCATTCTGTGTCATACTGCGTGCCACAGTGAACAGAATATAAGAACAAACAAATGAAGTCGGCTCATTATAAAATTTCTTTGGCAAATACCGCAACCATAACTAAACATAATCAATCCATTATAATTTCTATTGTGGAAAACTAAACGAGCTCACGATGGAGTCTGGCAGGAAGAGATGTTTGTATTTTTTCGTGTTTCCTTGCAATGTTTGAAAGCATTGTTCGGTTTAATAATGACTTAATAACATGAATCGTGAATATAGCATAATGTGTGATGTCATCCCTATTTGTAACCATGAAAGTAGCATCTCTGATATAGTAATCCTTGAAATATAAATACGATTAACAGCTTTTGCCTGGATAGTCAGAAAAAAAGAGGAATAAACTCAATAGTCAATATATGTACATTTGATACATTGAAATAAATATAGGGGAATACAAGCAATATCATTTTAGTAGCCATTGTAGGCTTTTATCAATGTGCTAAAGAACAATGAGGGATGGACAGAATATAATGCAATTAATGGCTAGGTTGTATAAATAATTCCAATGACACATTTCATGGGGAGGGAGCCAGCATTTTTAAAAAGGAGGGGACCAAAATATCCAAATTCTCCCTAAGATAATTTTACTGCCTACAACATTCTGCCTATGCATTTAATAGTTTTCTTCTAGGCCCAGGGGCAAACATTAGTGATATGTACTCCATCATTTCCATTCTAAACAAAGACCAATTAAGTACACTGGTCATTTGACATAGTACGTTACATTAACACTAAACAGTGAACCAATGTACATGTTTAAGGTCAATCCATTTCCAAATACATATACTATCATTATAGTTATCGTGGCAGGCTAAAGAAAGCACAGAAAGAGTGTCTACACATGTTACCGAATCAATTTTGAAAAAGTAACACGTGAAATAGTTGGTTCTTGATACACTGGAATTCGTAGCTGTTCACAAAAATAAATATACAGTTTTAATGGCCCACGTGTCATACGAGGCTTAAATTCGCTTTGAGCTTTGAGCTATGAACCACATGATCTAGGCCTACAGGAATATGAATATGAATTCCTGTAGTTCGTATCAGAGTTAGATTTTTGGCAGGAGAAACCAATAACTGTCGGAATAACGATAACATATAGCAACAATAGTAGAAATTGAAAGGGCAAATAGTCCAAAAATGACCAATATATTCCTTACCTAAATTAACATTTTTTTAGAAAGGCGTACTGACCTGTTCATGCAAGTGGTAGCCTATGTGACATTTGATTACCAACCCCAGAAGCAGGCAAAACATGATAGAATATTCTGAAACGCGCGTAGCCCTAAACAGACATTAACCAGATTACAACTTAGACTCTAATCAATTTGATCCAAAATAGGCTACACGTTACTGATATACATCTAAAACAACCAAACACAAATGCAGGAAGGGAATAAATATCAGTAGGCTACCGACCCCCCAATTGCCGTTTCTGATAAAGGGACCAGTAATCATCTGTACCGGGTTATCCACGGTGTTCAGCATGTGCAGATCAATAATTTCTAGTCTTGGCGTGTTTAAATCCCTCTCGTGTTTCGCCGACAGATACGGTGTATCATCATCGTCGTCTTCAAACCGCTGGCCTCCCAGACAAGCGAATGATGTCAGCGCTGTGGACAGTGATCGCCGTGCCCTGATGCCGATTTTTCTAAGCCTGTCCAAACTAGAACGCCTCTCCAAACTATGCCCCCTCAGTTTAACATGTTCCTCGGATTCCTCTAATTTTGAACGTTGCTCCCTTTCCAGTGTATTCTCGGGGCTTAGTTCTTCGATCAGTTCCCCGTGAATCGCTGTTTCCTTTTGCCGAGACCAACGCCAGCTTGGCACGCGCAATCGGTAGAATTTGAATGATGGGAATTTAAATGTCTCTTTGCATTTATCGTCTCCTGACTCGTGTATGGATGACTCTGACAACGCAGCTGACCCCTTTCTTGTTTCCTCCCCTGAAGAAACTGTTGCGGAAAGTGTATCATTCGAACAGTCCATGTCTTCTTGATACTCATATTTTGACCACATCGTCATATTGGAGAGTCCATCACTGTCTATTCGTTTCTTGCGTTTAGGGTGACAGTTGTCGTCATCCTCCGGGTTAAAGGTGAGCTCAAGCCGCACTGTGGTATCTGTGGCCATTATGCATGGAAACAATCACACATGGGTTCCAGTAATTCTATGTAAAGAACATTATTATTCGAAACATCAACATCGTTCCTTTCTGATTAGCAGACGATGCATCGAAGTGCGCATGCTCAGACAAGGGACGTAACTGTTCACAAACTATTTCCCCACCACCAACCAGAACTGTTGAAGACAATTGATCAATAAGTATAGAAAATGTCACGTGTTCGGTGTGCACACATGTGTATCAAACATTCAACGGCGCACTAGCTGTGCACAAATCAATTATGGAAACTCGATCCCTAAGTATGGATTGATCATGAACCATTGCAAGAATGAAATCTTTAAAAAATAATAATCACATAGATAGGGCTGTGTATTGCCCCAAATTTCGTATTGCGATATATTGCGATACATTCCTCTGTATTGCAATACGTACTGCAATATATTGTGGAAGAAAACTTATTGAGTTCTGTCCACTGTTTAAGATTCTTTTACCTCCACATTGAATCACAGTACAATCATACAAAGTTTAGCTTTATTCAAAGTAAAAAAAAGGGAAAAACCAGAACCATCAGACAAAACAGACAATTGTATATTGTGTCTGACTGGCTGTGCTATTCGACTCAAGAATAGCTGTTTAAGGCACCATAATGGTAAAGTCCAACATGCAGTAAATATTAGTGGTATCAATTCTCCAGACTCAGTGACATCATGGGTGCGTTTAGCTCATAGGTTCAGGAAGAAATGTTAGAGGTATTTATGTATAATATGGGTCCAGTGTTTGTGGTAACGTAAGTTTGTAATTGTTTATCAAAGAGCTGTTCGTGCAGTTTCATCACAATGACATCGCAGGTAAAAAGATGGACAATATTAGTTGTTTTAACTCTTTCAACACCAGTCAACCAGAAGCGTTACTGCTGTGACACCCAGTAACCAGAGATTCCTGTGTGATAGATGAAACCAACATTTATCAAAGAAAATATCTGCTTGTAAAACATCTTTGCAACTCTATATTATACACCATTTGAAAGGTCTGATCCTATTGTTTATAAATATGAAAGTATTGTTTATCACATTATTTAAATAATGCATTTACAACTTAATTATGTTCAGTCACAACGTCCAGATTAAGGACCAAGGAAGCGAAAATTTGACGATTTTCGGCAAATATACGATTTCATAAAATGCACTTACCTATTTCCTTTTTATTTTTATTGTTTACGTTATTGAAAAAGCTTTTGAAAAAGAATTATCAATAGTATCTGTCATCACCCATTTCCCGATAACAGCGCCTGTCCGCTCAGTAACATGAAGAAATACCACTGTTTTCGAGGCTTCGTATGAATAACACGTTCGTCGAAGACTGGCATATGACACATCGCTAGAAAGCTTATTCTTTCATCTTCACGCTCGTAACATCGCCTGGAGTTTTTCGTAGTTATAACAATCGATTTTATTGGATAACAATTGGTTTCTAATGACGCTTTCGCGCCAAAATCTGCTACAAGGTTTGTGATTGGTCAAATTTGAGCACGTGATCTAAGGCAGTCAATCAAATTACAGTTGTTATGAATCTTTTTGTTTATCCTGCCATTTTTTGAACATCTTAAGCAGGAAATCGCAATTTATATTAAAAATATGGTGCTTTGTTGATGTATCATGCTAGGTTACGAGCTGTGACAAAGTTTTTTCATGCATAATTTTGGCATTAAACATCGTGTCCGAGCCGAGAATTTAGGCGACGAAAGCCGATGTCATTTGATTTACATTACAAGCGATCGCACGAAAAGATGGAAATAATAACTTGGCAGTAAGTTTAACAACTTTTAGATATCTTTTTGTTGATTGTATCTATAACTTTGTATACTATATTCAAAGCTTTGCTTGAAACGTCTTTATTTTGCTCTTTGACATGTTCGATGTGGACCCGTTTTCGAAGTGCGTGTCTGAGATTTTTATTTTAAATAACATTACGGGAAATAGTGAATAATTTCTTAATCTATTGATAAAAAATGATCAATTGAAATTGAATACGTATTTCAGACATTGTGAAATGTGATAGATTTAGTAAATGAAAGATATGACTGGTAGGTTTAAAAAATTATATACTATTTTGACGTGACTACGGCTTGGCCGGTAGGGCCTATACCGGCCTACGGTGTCTGGGAATGCTTCTTGGCCGGTATTACGGGCCTACGGTGTTGAATGAGTAATAATAATTAATCATAAGCAAGTTCAATTTGAAAACACAAAATCATTGTCAATATACCGGTACATCACAAACGTATCGCGATACGTAGTTGTTTCATTTTCATATTGCGGTATACCGGTATACCGGTAATACCGTGCAGCCCTACACATAGAGTATATATAGTGCAAGACTAAAGCTTAGAAAAAATATATAATATTGACGGAAACAAGCTTCATTTAAATTAAACAGGAGCCCCAGTTGTCGAGATGGCATATACAGAACGTGTAGAAAATCTAGACTTGCTTCATTTAGGGCCATATAGCATTACAGTAAAGTTGTGTGGAAAGAAAATATACAGTCCAGTGACTGTGTGACAGACTAATATAATGCAAGGTAATAATTTACAAGTAAATGTGGGAATTTCGGGGCAGAATACGACCCCTGACGCCATGCTAAAAAGAACACATGGGACCAGGTGGTTATGAGAGCTGTCACCAGGCTGACTGTGTTTCATCATGTCCCGATGGCGTGGTTCGTTGCCCATGTCTGGTTTGCCCCGCCCAGACACGACTAGTTACATGATTAGAACTGAAATATTGCAAACTGAGGCATTTTAAACAACATTCACTTGTACACGTAGGAACATACTACAATTTCATTAATAAGACAAAATACGCACAGTCCTCTATGTCCTATAGAACATTATTAACGATCTGTAGCACACTATTTAATTACGGACTGAAATAATATCCCCACTTAAGACGATCTCCGTTCTGAAATGGTCACAGTACGTCACCTTGCTCCCCTTTCACAAAGCGATCTTAGCACTAGGACTACCGTTAACCTGTGTTAAAGTATGGGAATAACGATCATCTCGGCGCTCTCTGATCGTGTTGTGCAAGTGGACTGCATGGCCCCATTCCAGAAAGAGTTCGTAGCCCTAAGTTGATCTTTACTCCCATACTTTAACACAGACTTAGGACAGTCATACTGCTTAGATCGCTTTGTAGAACGGGGCCCCAGGCTAATATCGTGTTGACGTATATAGCGACGGCGTGGATCGTTGCTCATGCGATCAATCATCAGTTTGCCTGGTCCAGGCTCGGTTACAGTAAACTACGGTTATAACGAACTCAAAGGGACTACTAATTTTAGTTCGTTATAACCGTAGTTCGTTATATGTACATATACAGCATGACTACAGCAAGTAGTCGGGACCAAAAAGTAAGTTCGTTATATCCGTCAGTTCGTTATAAGCGTGTTCGTTATAACCGTAGTTTACTGTATATACGTGCCGCCGTTATATAGCTGAAATACTTCAAACCGTGGCGCAGATACCATTCATACAACCAAATGTGAAGGGCGTCACTAAACACAGTAAACCAGTAGCATGTTCCTTTCCGTTGTTGTATGCCCCCGTGGGGATTCCGGGTTAGAATAGGTCCCCAGCAACCTATGCTGGTCGTAAGCTGCGACCACAGTGGTCAGGCTTGGTGACTTGGTTGGTCGCTGTCATCGTACCCTGACATCTTCCCGAGGCAAGGGAGTTAACTAACTTTATAGTCAGTTAACTCACTTGCCTCAGGAAGATGTACCTTTACGGCGTGGGTCGTTGGTCACAATATGAATCACTGGATTGTCTGGACCAGACTCTAAACATGTTTACTACAAAGTGCATATCGTTGTGCATTATTCTAATGATATAAACATGTTTACTACTAAGTGCATATCGTTGTTATTCTAATAATATAAACATGTTTACTACAAAGTGCATATCGTTGTGCATCATTCTAATAATCTAACCATGTTTACTACAAAGTGCATATCGTTGTGCATCATTCTAATAATCTAACCATGTTTACTACAAAGTGCATATCGTTGTGTATTATTCCAATAATCTAAACATGTTTAGAAATTAAAACATGTTTAAATAGTGTGCATATCATTGAGCATTAAGTCAAATTTTGATAAGATATATATATTATAAGAGTAAATAAGAGTATTTATTATAAGAGTAAGAAATGCACTTTAAATAGTGACGGGGCCGTTGGTATTGTAAACACATATAATGAGTAATGTTTTTTCATCGTTTTACGCCGGTGGGCAGATGTTTGTAACAACACCTCTTGTTATCACATATCGCCAAAGAAACCAGTTTTAGACTAACGGGATAATTTATAATTGTGTCAGTTCATGCCATTAGTTCTTTTTTACTAGGATTTGTTTGTTTGTTGTTTAACGCCGCACTCAACAATGTTCCAGCTATATGACGGTGGTCTGTAAATAATCGAGTCTGGAACAGACAATCCAGTGATTGTTATCATGAGCATCGATCTACGCAATTGGGATACGATGACATGCATCAACCAAGTCAGCGAGCCTGACCACCCGGTCCCTCTAGTCTCCTCTTACGACAAGCATAGACGCCTGTTACGGCAAGCATAGACGCCTCTTACGACAAGCATAGTCGCCTCTTACGACAAGCATAGACGCCTGTTACGGCAAGCATCTGTTGCTCAAGACCTATTCTACCCCGAATCTTCACGGGGTCCCCATGACACGTAAACGTTCAGCACATTGCAAACGGCGCATGCATGATCAATACTGTTGCTTCCTTAAATGTGTTTAACAAAGTGTCTTTGGGCGTTTAGCTCCAAGAAAACAATATGTGTCTGCTCACAACCGAGTTTGAGTGACAACGGTAACACTGGCATGCTATCCCTTGCACGTGCTGTTCGAGGTCACGTGCTTCTTGGCTGTCACAAGGTTGTGTTTAGGTGCTTGATTTCCTTGGAAATGTTCTTGCCACATTAATCACTTACTTTCGTGTAATTTCCTGTAGTTTCACCTCAAAACAAAATATCCCATGCTTTTATGGCATAGTATATATTTTAAACGATCACCGCCATTGCATTCTCATACTATTTTCCGTTTTAGCATCCCAAACTCATCCGTTTTTAGGGTCCCTGAAAACTCAAGGGTTTCTTTTATAGAATTACCAGTTATTTTAGTTAACCTTATGCATAACTCTATTTCGTGGACCATATATGAGACTATCCAACAGGTAATATGTAGAAGAAGCCGAATCAGCTGAAATTACACAACCAAAGAGCTATAAATGGTTAAAGACGATTAACCCGCTTAATTTTACCCCAGCTGAAAGTAATTTGGTTGTCTAATTACGGTTTACTTTATTTTCTTTGGCGATGATAATTTTGTGACTTATGAGTTATTAATATTGGGAAATAATGTTTTATCAATCTGTTCACAGTGTCTTTTCTATATTACGGCTTAACAGCAATATGTGTGTGGTTTGTTTGTTTTTTAACGCCGCACTTCTAGACATATATGGGGGTGGTCGGGTAGCCTAGTGGTTAAAGCGTTCGATCGTCACGCCGAAGACCCGGGTTCGAATCCCGACATGGGTACAATGTGTGAAGCCCATTTCTGGTGTCCCCCGCCGTGATATTGCTGGAATATTGCTAAAAGCGGCGTAAAACCAAACTCACTCACTCACTCTAGCCATATATGACGGCGGTCTGTAAATAATCTAGTCTGGACCAGACTAGCCAGTGATAATTACTCACTCACTTGGAAAGCATAACATGAAGCTTTGCAGAAAAATCAGACATGACTGCCGAACCGGTGCCTTTTGCTTTTCGTGATCTGTCTGTATTTTGTTAAACTTTTCGTTCAAATGTTAGATACAGGTTTCACTTCCGGAACATAACTCATTAGTTTAAAACAGTTTATATATATATACATCCGGCAACATCTGAACGGGTGCCTATTGCTATTCAGGAATTTAAAATATTCATGGGGCGTTGGGTTAGCCTATAGTGTTTGCTCGTCACGTCGATTTCCACATGGGTACAATGTGTGAAGCCCATTTTTGGTGTCCCCTCGCCGTGATATTGCTTGAATATTGCTAAAAGCGGCGTAAAATCCAACTCTTTTACTGTCTCTAAATATTCAACTGTAGGCTGTATCTATAGTCTGTCTTGCAGACCCTGAAACAAATATATATCAAATACAGCCCATGCAAGTCTATAATGTTTGGCAAGTCTAGATTACTGCAGTATCTGAAAATGAAGAGAGTCACTGGGCTCCCTTTTATTATATTTTTTATTAAGATAACTGAACAACTGTTTTTTTTCTGTACGATATGTTCATTTCAGAGACTAGATGTTAGTCAAGCTGTGTGTCCAGTGTCAGACTTCTATAATACTGAGGAATTGTGAGAACTGGGCATACGTTTTGAGTAGGTTATGTTTTAAGAATATATATATATATATATATATATATATATATATATATATATATATATATATATATATATATAATAAAATAATAAAGTCCACGTTAGTCCATCATCTTCTTTATATCAGTTTCATACATAGTACTTTCGCTGTCTCATGACAGCTCTTCAGTGTAACTGACATTGTCAGTTACACTGAAGAGCTGTCATGAGACAGCGAAAGTACTATGTATGAAACTGATATAAAGAAGATGATGGACTAACGTGGACTTTATTATTTTATTATATATTACATGTACACCGAGTGAACATTTACCTCATTTTTCTGTATATATATATATATATATATATATATATATATATATATATATATATATAGCTTTCTGTTACTTTAGCGGGATTTGCGTAATATTGGTGGAATTTTGCTAAAAGCGGCGTAAAACCATAACCACTCACTCCACCAATTTAGACGGCTCCTCAATAAACGTCGTGTGCAGTACGTGGCGGACCCCGAGGGATTTTGAGGGTGACCATGCATGCACCCACCCCGTTTTTTCACATCTGGTGACATTTTGTATGCGTATTTCCTACCATGATGAGGGCGGTCGGGTAGCCTAGTGGTTAAAGCATTCGCTCGTCACGCCGAAGACCTGGGTTCGATTCCCGACATGGGTACAATGTGTAAAACCCATTTCAGGTGTTCCCTGCCGTGATATTGCTGGAATCAGAGACCATATATATAATTATATGGTCTCTGCTAGAATATGGTTAAAAGCGGAGTTAAACCATACTCACTCACTCCTACCATGATGACACGTGAATTGGTTGTTAAAGTAAAATTTCTAATAACTGGCCCAAGTGGAACCCTTTCCCTGTCCCTTTCTAAAAACCCGGATCCGCAGTATCCTTATTATCTAACCTACTGAAGAGGGTCCTGATGGGTTGGTCCCATAAGCAGTAAGGAGTAAAACTTAGGGTACTTTTCATTAAGCAGTATTTTTTCTTCTTTTTCAATGAAATCGTCGCGAAAATTTCCTAAATCGGCCATGGTGGGACATGGGACTTTAAATTCTGCTTTCGTTTCATCCTGACAATTCATATTTTTAATACCGGGTAAAATCTCACATCGCTAAACATTCCAGACTGGTCCCCTGCGTCCGTTGCGCAGCCTGCTTTCTGTGGCGAAGCATTTGGGTCTTGAAGACAGACTGCTTTTGACCATTTTATTCATTATACGATTAGCAGTAAATTATTTATTTACGTTTAGCAGTTATTTTTTGGTATTTTACGATAAGCATTTACGATAACAAAAGATGAATTTTACGTTTACGATAGTGTTTGAAGGGTGTTTAACGTTAAGCATTAAAACCCATCAGGACCCTCACTGAAGACATGCAGGATCGAGTCCATTTATATTTATAAATCTAGACTGCTTTGATCATATTTGTTCTGTGTTCCAAACATTTTTTAACATCATATTTATACCGATGTTTAGTTGCATCCAGATTTTGACGTTCTGCATCACTATTGTCTTGTCGTATTGATTGCAACCGCGACTGTAACATTAATCACTGAGATTTTGTATCAACCAAGGGGAAGTCACTCTAGTACACGACCCTCCCTCCTTCAGCTAACAGCTGTCAACATACGAAGGCATTTTATTACCATCCTTCGCAATGTTCATACGAGCTTCTGTGCCAAGTTTTCGGAAAATCAAAGATGAACACGAAAACACATTCACGGTGAGTGCTACCTGAGGTTACGTTACAATGTATACGTCTATTGCTGCAGAAATAATAGCAAGCTTCAAGGACGTAAGGAAATTCAGAAAAATGAAAAGCCAGTCTCTTCATAAACAAACACAACATCTGTTTAAATGTTAGATCCACATGCTCTCAACATTACGTGACATTTTGCTGACACCAGCCAGTAGGTCATAAGAGGTATTCCCTGACCTTACAGTGACCTTTTCAGTTTACAGAGTAGCCTAAATATTTATGAAAATACTTTGAAGGAAGCAGGCAGGTGCTTGCGTTTAGATGTAGGTCCTGTGTTAGCAGTTTAAGCAGTGATTTTCCTTTGTACTTTGAAAACAGTGCTGACAAACTAAAACTAACTGAGAACCATGAGGGGGGTAAACGGGAATGCAGCCTAACCTGAATTTGCAAAACATGTAGGCTTACTGGCCTGTGTAAACTATAGTAATATATATATATATATATGAACACCAATAACAAGTGTACTTGCCCTCAGCATAGCTCCAGCATTAGACAAACACACCAACCAATTGGCATCCCTTGTTAATCTATCTAAGCATACTATGGGGGGGTGGGGGGGTGTTACCTAGTGGTTAAAAAGTCAGCTCGTCACCCTAAACACCCGGGTTCGATTCCCCACATTGGTACATAGTCTGATGCCCATGATAGTGCTGGAATATTGCTAAAAGCTGCGTAAAACCATACTCACTCACTCTAAGGTGTATTGTGGGTGTAATGTGGCCAGATATTAGTTAAGGAATGATCATTCATATGACAATTTAATAAAAGGTCATCTGTTTTTGTAGCCATACATGTTTACTGTTACCATTTGATTTTGATGCCATTGTCTTTCCTCAATGACTGGTAATAACTTAAATATTAGTTCGATTTTATTTTCCTGTAGAACCTTCAATTTCTTAATTGCAGGTATTTTTCTTAGAGGTTTGGGTATCTGGCAGATTACACACAGTGGAGAAGAGATACACAGAGTTCGAAGAACTTCATAAGCAGGTAGAATAATTTGGTTCCAAACATCTGCATTGGTGATGTACACAACCGTGTTTGATTTAGCAATGTGTTATTAATAATTTCAATATTCATTAATCTGATCTTTATGATGTATGCAAAACATTCCTTCAGTAGATTACTGTGAATGTAATCTCTGTGCCTCAGTGAACCCAGGGTGCTCTATGCCATCATCTCTGATCCGTCATGTACGTTCTGTTGATACAAGTGTCAACGCGCATGTTGACGGGAAATAGGCTCTTGGGGGAATCAAGGACAAAATTGACATCACAGTCCCGGAATGTTTTATGCACACCATGTAAACAATAAACAACAATTACACAATGAGCGGAATACCTGCTCTGACAACACAAACACAGCGATGAGCGGATCTTCCAGCTCAGGCATACATGAGGTGTGCGGAGCTCCAGTTCAACCTCAGGACGTCTACTATGAGCGGCACATCCTGCTCGAGGTCGTCTCAATACCAGCACTCGGAATACTAAAGTGACTAACAGTGTAATGATAACACTTATATAGAAACAAACAATGGACAGACAAAGAGACAAAAGAGACGTTGCTCTGGACATTTGACATATGGCCCTGATGAACCGACACAGTTCAGGGGATGATCAATTAAGGCAATAAATGTCATACTATAAATAACAGTAATTAACGGGATGTGATATGGTGGCCCAGGTTGGCTCACAGTCAATATACAATGAAATGTTGGTGAGGATTAACAACGGGGATGAGCGTTATAAATAATGGCAATTAAGTTATGGAGACATATACATGTCATGGCTACAGGGTAATGAGCCTTTGGAATCAAGTGATCTTCAGACAATGGTTGTCCCAAATCAGTCACAATGATACAAGCATGACAGGACATACTGTATTCGACGTAATAAGCGCCCAGCTCTAATAAGCGCCCACGGCGATATTTGCTAATATATTGGCAAGTGAACAATCCCAATTAGCCCCCCTTTCGATTTATCAATGTACACAAGACTTATTTATTCGTGTATAATATGCACTCGTGTGTTATATGCACCTATAATTATGGGCAAATAAATTTTGGAAAAATGCATCTGTCGTAAATAAACAGTTAAGACTGTCAGCATAACTCACGAAATTTATCTTTCAACTCTGTTTTTTCCACCAAAATAATATTCTAATAAGAGCCCCCTATTTCTAATTTTGAGAGTGCCCTTGGCACTTATTACGTCGAATACGGTAGGTGCAGTTTATTCATCATCACTTATCACATATATGCTGCTACACTCACCACAAATAGATGCAAGAATGCTTAGGCGTATCAAAGAAATATGCTTGGTTCTGGTTACCCGACCCTACCTTCATCTTACTCCCTATTATACCTATTCTTGCTCACATTTATTAAATAAGACAATCCCCCGACGCTATCTTGATGTTTTCATTATGTTGTTCAGTGCTGACAATTTGGTTTCAACATGTTCCATTAATTTTTTTTACTCTGTTTAAAGATTGATTGTAAATCTGACATTGGTGAAAAAAGTTTTTGTTGTCATCCATGCAACAAGAGACTTTAGTGATAGATATGCTGTGTAAAATATTTGAATAATAAAGTCATTTTCCTACCTACCTACCCTCTTTTATTTTTCCACGTAAGAGGACCCAAACATATATTTTGATAGGCCTTATGCAGCACTCAGCAATAGTCACACTCTCTTACACTACAAGCAACACATCGAAGATACCGTATTTGACGTAATAAGCGCTAAGGGCGCTCTCAAAATTAGAAATAGGGGGCGCTTACTAGAATGTTATTTTGGTTTGAAAAAACAGAGTTGTTTATGCTGACAGCCTGAAATGTTTATGTACGACAGATATATTTTTCCAGAATTAAATGCCCATAATTAAAGGTTCATAAAACACACGAGTGCATATTATACAAGAATAAATAAGTCTTGTGTACATTGATCACTCGGAAGGGGTGCTGATTGGAATTGTTCACTAGCAAATATCTTAGCAAATGTCGCCGTGGGTGCTTATTAGAGTGGGGCGCTTATTACGTTGAATACGGTATATACATATACTACTTAAAACAAGTTAAAGAACACCCACAATTGGAAGGCAGTGTGTTGCAATACCCACCAGCCGTGACAAAATAACTATAGTCATGATAGTCATATGAAGAAATCAGGTGTTCTTTAATTTCTTTTGAATTCTATACATGTTCTGCTACTATATAGAACAGCTGCAACATTGCTGATGCGGCGTTAAGGAAACATTACTCACTCTGCTACTACAAACAATACCAATGCATTTCATTATCATCACAGATCATGCTTCTTTGTCTTGTCTCATGTAGTCTAGGCTTGAGGCAAGTATCACAGAACATATACACAAGTGTTTAGAGGATGTCATTGTACGTGCTTTCATTGTTAATTGTCGGCACACCGAAGACCCAGGTTCGATTCCTACATGGGTACAATGTGTGATGCCCATTTCTGGTGTCCCCGACGTGATATTGCTGGAATATTGCTAAAAGCGGCGTAAAACAATACTCTCACTCATTGTTGGTTGTCCATCTATGACAAAATTTCCAAGAACTGCATGTGTGATATATTTTTAATGATGTGCTATTGTCGATGGCGTCAGTGAATGCACTAAGACCAGGCACAGTGTACATGGTGAACCCTGGTTTCTGCAGATGGACACTGATGTCTGGGTACTTCATGATGTCTGTGCTGAACTCAAGGGTTGACCTGAAGAAATATGTGATCCGATTTATGGCCACAATAAATGAATTATTACCTTTGCATCCAAATAAAAAAATGTGAGGCAGGAGGTATTTTATTGTTTATGTTTATTTTATAACAAACTGTTTAAGACATCTGTGTACATAAACTGTTGATGGATGTGATTCACATGACGCATGATGTTTGCTAAGACTGTAGATGATGCATTTCTTCAAAGTACAGAATGAAGGCAACACACAGTGATTTCTGTAGGTACTTGAGGACAATAACATGATGTGCGGCATGTTTGGCAGAGAGCCAGGTTGGGATGAAAATGTAATAATTGATTTATTGTTTGTTTGTTGTTTAACACTGCACGCAGCAATATTCCAGCTATATGATGGCGGTCTGCAAATAATTGGGTCTGGATCAGACAATCCAGTGATTGACATCATGAGCATCGATCCACGCAATTGGGACATGATGACATGCATCAACCAAGTCAGCGAGCCTGACCACCCGATCCCGTTAGTCGCCTCTTACGACAAGCATAGTCGCCTTTTACGGCAAGCATGGGTTGCTGAAGACCTATTCTACCCGAATCTTCACGGGTCAATTTATTTATTACGGCATGTCCGAAAATGTTTAGGAGGAAAACAGGACACCGATCAACCACTAGACTTGCACAAGTCTCTAAGGCAATAATTATAAGTTTAAATCATAATTTCTAGATTTTATAAATGATAAGAACATGTCCCCATGTCATTAGACTGTCCGCTTATCTAGACTTGCCTATTATAAGGATAGAATTACTACACATCTATGGACTTATCTTTCAGTAGAGCCATGGAGCAAGGCTAAACAAAAAGTACCTGTTGTGCTTATTTTCTGGAGATATAAGGCTTAAAAAAATAAAAGAAGTTGTTTCCAGGCAATGACTTTTGAATATATAGCGCAGTTTTTTTTTGGCTTGTTCGAAATTAGTATGTAACCAAATAAACAGTTGTGTACCATCAACCTGGGAAAGGGCCTCCCTACCTAAACAAGCATACAAACTCCTGATGCCAACATAACACGAGATGCACAGTAAGGCAGTGAGCATGTAAAGGGAAGTAACTGTGTGCTATATTGGATCACATTGTTTTAAGTATTAGGAATTTTTATTTTTTTTAAAATGGAAATAAAAACGAAACACGTGGCAGACTTTCTGATGATGCGGGCGGTACCTGAGAACCAAGACTGTTATTTGTTTCTGCCTAATGAGTATCTACATGAGTACTTTGGACTTCACAACTCTATTTTAATCAAATATGGAGAGAAAAAATAATCAAAATTTACGATGTTTCTGCCAACATGTCACACATATAGAAATATAATGTGTTTTTATATGTATTATTAACACAAATATGATGCTCAATTTGACATTCATATTTTCACCAAATTGATCAGTTTAATATATCAGGAGTTCTGTCCCTTGTCTTTGATACACAGACCTTGTTGAAATAAAATCCCTTAGCCGTCCAAGAAATGCCACAAAAAATCAATCATTTGTTTTCGATATTGCCTCATTGTTTTTATTCCTGTCATCATGATCACATACAAATATTGTTCAAATGTCTTTGACATACTATGCTACATAAACATGACTTCAGCATCACATTGCTTTTCAGCTCAAGAAAGTTATGAGAACACCTGAGTTTCCTCCTAAAAAGGTTCTCAAGTGGAATTCCAAAGTATTAGAGCAAAGACGAAGTGGTTTACAAAGCTATTTACAGGTAGGTACATAGGAATGTCTTTCAAACTGTATCTTGTGCAAGGGAGCGCTGGGGTGGCCTCATGCTCTCAGGGTTGGCTTGCTACATCAATGACCCATTAGCTCTATCTTGATTTTGTTGTAGCTTCCATTATTTACTTATTAACAGGCAGATATGTAGGCATTTTTAGAGAAAATAGAATTTGTAAAAGTGGTTGTATTAAAGTTGAATTTCACTTTTTATGTGTATGTACAGAGGGTAATGATTTAAGAACAAAATATTTAAATAACTACTTCTACCACAATCCACATGTTAACAAATTTTGTAAATTAATGACATGTGATTGTACAAAAACTATCGGAAATCTGACTGTGTTTATTTATCATGCTATGAAATTAAGAAAGTGTAATAGTTTGTAACACGCCCCAGACAATGTACTGTAGGCATTTGGCCTCATCAGTATCATGAATAGAGATTGTTTGGTTGGTCGGTCGTTGGTTGGTGGTTGGTTGGATGGTTGCTTGCTCCTCATTGTGATATTCATTCATAAAACTCTATTCACTCACCCATCTTGTGCACATGGAAGTTGAAGACAACACTTATCATCTGTGCTATCCATACATCATCTACCCGAGGCAAGGAAGTTGACTAACTATAGAAGTCCATTTTACACCCTTGCCGAACAAGGAGTTATTTTGTGGCAGGACTGACGAGTTTATGCATAATCCAATCAAAATTGTGTAACGACATTGCCATTTTGTTCGTAAACATGGAGAGCATGTGTACCGTCAACTGGGCATTGATCAAGGTGCTCAAGTGATTTCAATAAAGGTCTTGATAATCAATCAGATCATCTTGACTGGGTGCCGCCTGTTTGAAGGAAATGCAAGTAATATGAGATGTGAGATCTGATTGGTCAAAAGGAGGGATGTAGAAGGGACATAACTCATATTAGTCACTGGTGGCGCGACAGACGAACCATGAAATTCCAGCTTAGTTCGGCAAAGGTGGAAACTGGAATTTTACAGTCAGTTAACTTCCTTGCCTCAGGAAGATGGCCATATATTATAGGGTTGGGAATTCACAGGTGTTGTTCCACATTCCTGGTTGTGTGTTTTTTTTGGTATTTGACAATTTTCCTCAAGCAGTGTCACTGGTGTAAGTTCATGCATTCCATCACAAATCCAACGTTTGAAGAAATACAAAAACAGATGGCTCATGTGTTTGGTATTTAGAGAGCAAATTATCCAACAGCTGTAAAACTAGGCCATGTAACGAGTGCACAACCCAGCTGTCTTATACGGGAGGGGCTGCTTGGTAGCCTCGTGGGTAAAGAGTTCACTCTTGTCAACAACTGATGTGTTGCAGTTGGTCATGGTCTGATGGCAAGGTATTGATCAGTGTTGGTACCAACTCCAAATGTCAATATAGTATCAATAGTTTTCATCAGTGGAATACAGTGTAAAATACAGACAGTTTGACCTGCATGTCTATATTTGCCAAACCCTGTAATCAAGTTTTCTCGCACTAACTGACATGATAAACGACTGTGTACAATGACAACAATGTGCCAGGACAACACACACACACACACACCACTGAGAGAGGATTTTGTTATTGGACACCTGCCTTTATAAAACTCCTGGATCCGCCCTTGTGGCTGACAATAAAGGTACAAGATAATGCAACTACAGAATAATAAAGCAAGCTCTTACAGAGATTAGCATCTGGCTGCATAATTAATGGCCATTAGGTGATTGCATGGTAGAGAATATAACATAGCTACATGATAAATCGCAAAAAGCAATAAAGAACGTAGTGTGTTTTTTTTCACAATAATACATTGTTCTATCATGACATCATTTCTGGAGATTCTAATATGCGCTCACAACTTGATGTCGCATATCGGACGATGTTATTTTTGAGACGGACGTGTCTAGTGAGTTGTTTCCCATTTCCAGCTGGGGTACTTAGATAAATGCAGTGGCCGAACGATCACATTGCATCAAAAAGTGGGAGAGATGTGACAATTGGTATTAGGAGAAAATCCGTATTAGGTTCAGATAATCGATGTGAGAATTGTGAGAATATGCAGGAAATACCAAACTTAACCCCCCTGTTAATAAAATGGACCTGAAATGGACTTCTCCGACATTGCCGAGGTCGGATTCCATTCAGGGATCATTAGGTCATTATTAGTTTCAGGTTAGTTAATTATGGTTTACTGCCGCTATGCCCGCAGGTAGCGGTAGCGGTAGCGTAACCATGGTAACCATGCCACTGTTGTCACAAGCATGGGGTTGCTGTCAAGGATACATAAATGATGGTCCGAACCGATATTTCAAATAAGAATTTCAAAAGGACAGACATTTCTTTTTAATTTATAATTTACAGTTTCATACGATCAAAATTTACCAATTTTCACCAGATGCACAATTTACATAATGGCACTCACAGAAAAAAAAATTATTTGTGAAATAGTATATAGAATATGACACTATAATTGCCCATTTATGTTTTTATATTAGCACATTTACGTTTACAAGCCATCATAATGTGACACAGTGTCATGATATTGCTGGATGGTTGTGTGGCCTCCCCAACGCCTTACATCTTTTTCCTAGGTAGCAGGCAACCTCCGCCGTTCATCTGCGTGCCCAAGATTTCTGTAGCAGTTTGTTCTTTCTATAACTTTGAAAATATTTGGATGGCTTCGACCTCGATCATTAAAACTAGAATGACACACTTCAATGTGGGTGGTAGTTTGGGTTATGTTGAAACTCGTGTGACCTTAGTTCCCCATTGTTAATCTAGCTCACTTGCTGGTGGGATGGCCCTATCATCCTAAACCTTCATTGGTTTGCCAATGACATGCATCACCAACATCTGGTGTGTAAACTGTCGTGCAGATTTCGGTTGATTACAGGATTTGCAACGCATGTGTACCATCAACTTCGCGTCAACAGATATTTTTCAAATCTTTTCATGTTTTTAATCAAGGTGCTCACATGATTTGATGCTCTTTGCGTGAAGTAAGACCGGTTTTATTACAATATTGATCTTGATTATTGATCAGATCATCTTCACAGGGCGCCACCGTATTGTTTGAAGCAAATGCAAGTGATATGAGAGAAGGAATCTGATTGGTCTATAGGAGGGACATAGAAGGAACATGCCATAATAGCCACTGGTGGCGCTATGCTCGTACCTAGAAATTCGCAGCCTAGTTCGGCAAGGGTGGAAACTGGGCTTTTTCAGACAGTTAAATCCCTTGCGTCAGGAAAATGTCCTTCGTCATTACGAATTATGTAACAGTATTACAAAACACTGAAAGGTTACCTGACCTTTCATTTTTGCATATTTATCCATATATGACCCCAACAGATACTGTTTTATATCTGTTATCTTTATCTTGCCAAGAAACATACTTTTTTTTTGCAAAATAAAGGTATTCCGTTATTCATTTTTTTTAGTATTTATCAGGATGGGATGGATATCTAATACACTGGATAATGGAGGATGTGTTCAAAGCAGGGTTCAACACAATTCACCAATTGATTTCAGAAAATATGATCATACAGGTGCGCTGTCTATATTCAGTTTGAGGCTTCTTGTTTCTGTTGCGGGGGCGGTCGGGTAGCCTAGTGGTTAAAGCATTCGCTCGTCACGCCGAAGACCCGGGTTCGATTCCCGACATGGGTACAATGTGTGAAGCCCATTTCTGGTGTCCCCCGCCGTGATATTGCCGGAATATTGCTAAAAGCGGCGTAAAACCATACTCACTCACTGTTTCTGTTGCAGTGTCGGTTTCAGTGTTCTCCTGTACATCAGTTGGTTGACACTTACTTTGTTCTGGTTTCTTGTTATGTCCTTGTTGTTCATCATACCTTCTGTTTCAGGGAACACTAGACGGGGATATTCTCCCGAAATCCCTCCTGAAGTTTCTGGGCATTAGCAACCTCTCTGACAGTATTGAGTGAGTAAATTAACACCGTGAGGATACAAGTTACAAACAGTTTGACAGGGTTTGTCGTACAAGGCCACTTAATGTTTGTTTGTTTGTTGTTTAACGCCACACTCAGCAATATCCCAGCTATATGATGGCAGTGTGTAAATAATCAAATCTGGACCGGATCATGGGCATCGAGCCACGCAATTGGGATACGATGACATGCATCAACCAAGTCAGCGAGCCTGACCACCCGATCCCGTTAGTCGCCTCTTACGACAAGCATGAGTTGCTGAAGACCTATTCTACCCCGAATCTTCACGGGTAAGGCCACTTACTGGATCAAGTGGTTAGACTAGGTGACTTGGTTGATTATGTTTCATCATACCCCGATGACCTGGGACGTTGCTCATAATGTCGGTCACTGGTTTGTCTGGTCCAGATTCAAATATGTACTGACTGCCAACATATTTCTGGAATGGACAATAAACAAACAAAAAAAGGATACATATTGATGATGTTTATAGCATGAATTGTTCATAATCACTGTGAGCTATGTACACAGCACCTGGGTACCTTTCCATAAAGTAATCTTAGCGCTACAACACTCATAAATATGTTCACAATATGCGTAGTGCTAAGATTGTTTTGTAGAAATATGACACTCGTAACTCTATGTTAATATTTGGGAGTTATGATATGTGTAGTGAAGGGCTAGGACAGGTAACTCGGGAACTCGGGTCGGGTGGGTCCTGAGTAGGACTCGGCTACCCACAGGACTACCAGGACCCGTGGTTAGTCACGTGATATATTGTTTATTTTCTAAAACTCTGTGGTTATACTACAAGTCACTAATGTTCCCATTTCTTTCTGACAATGCACCCATTCCTTCTGACTTTTATATGTTTGAATAAAGATAAAACTCCATGCAGTAAACTACAGTGTATGCATGACCAGATCGTTTTACACATGTATCTTAATACATTTTGCCAGGGCTACGGTCAAACTTTTGCAAATCTCTGAATATCTACAACGGGTACCCGGGAGGGGTCGGGTAATATGATGGAGGGTACCCAGGTCGGGTCGGGTAACAGGGTGGAGGGTAGCTTCGGGTAACAGGGTGGAAGGTGGAGGGTACCCGGGTAGGGTCGGGTAATAGGGTGGAGCGTACCCGGGTAGGGTCGGGTAACAGGGTGGAGGGTACCCAGTTAGGGTCGGGTAATAGGGTGGAGGGTACCCGGGTAGCGTCGGGTAACAGAGTGGAGGTCGAGGGTACCCGGTTAGGGTCGGGTAATAGGTTGGAGCGTACCCGGGTAGGGTCGGGTAACAGGGTGGATGGTGGAGGGTACCCGGTTAGGGTCGGGTAATAGGGTGATGGGTACCCGGGTAGGGTCGGGTAACAGGGTGGAGGGTGGAGGGTACCCGGTTAGGGTCGGGTAATAGGGTGATGGGTACCCGGGTAGGGTCGGGTAACAGGGTGGAGGGTACCCGGTTAGGGTCAGGTAATAGGGTGGAGGGTACCCGGGTAGACTCGTCCCAGCCCTTGTGTAGTGATAAGACTGTTTTATGGAAAATGTGACACTTGTAAATCAATGTTAATGCATGGGAGTTGTGATAAGCGTAGTGCTAAGATTGTTTTATGGAAAATGTGGTAAACATAAATCTGTGTTAACGTGTGAGATTTACATTTGACCTTGTAACTCAACAGTGCTTGGAACATCAAGGTCAGCTTTGTTACTAATACTTTGAATTACTGCAGCATAGCCCTACAAAACAAACAAATAATAATAACATGGACACTCAGGCAGAAGTGACTTTGTTCTATATTTCAATCTTGAGACATGAATTTCTGTTGTATATTTCAGCCGTCAGATGTGTTACCATAGTTACGTTGTTGTATATTTCAGCCGTCAGATATGTTACTATAGTTACGTTGTTGTATATTTCAGCTATCAGATATGTTACTATAGTTATGTTATTGTATATTTCAGCCCTCAGATATGTTACTATAGTTACGTTGTTATATATTTCAGCCCTCAGATATGTTACTATAATTATGTTATTGTATATTTCAGCCCTCAGATATGTTACTATAGTTACATTGTTGTATATTTCAGCCCTCAGATATGTTACTATAGTTGCGTTGTTGTATATTTCAGCTCCCTAGACAAGTTGAGCCAGGACATTCGGGTCAGCCATCAGCCGGTCATCTCATTCCCCGCCGACTCCTTCCTCCAGGAGAATACTACCAGTGAGAACACATTCATACTCCCCTTCCATACCCTTCTACCCTACCCTACCCTACTGTGCTTGCACCCTACCCTACTGTTATTGTGCCATTCTGTTCTCATACCATACTGGACCCATGAAGATTCCGGCGTAGAATAGGTCTACAGCAACCCATGCTTGCCATAAAAGGTGACTATGCTTGTCGTAAAAGGCGACTAACGGGATCGGGTGGTCAGGCTCGCTGACTTGGTTGATGCATGTCATCGATTGCGTGGATCGATGCTCATGATATTAATCACTGGACTGTCTGGTCCAGACTCAATTATTTCTACAGACCGCCGTCATATAGCTGGAATATTGCTGAGTGCGGCGTTAAACAACAAACCAACCAACCAACCAATCATACCATACTGATCTGGGTCCACTTGCACATAACATTCTTAGCTCTACAATTATTGTAAATTCTTAAGATCACAATCTTAGGCTTTGCCATCCACTTGCACAAAGCAATTGTAGGCTAAGATCATTGTAAGCTACAAGCTAAACTTAAAATTGGTCCGGACCAATCTTAAGTAGCTAAGATTGTTGTAGTCCTTGGATAAACTTGTCAAGATGGTGTGCAAGACAGGGTCTGTTTCACATAAATTATCTCCATTTCATTCAAACATTGCCTCTTTATTTTTTTAATTTTGTGATTCGAATCAACACTTCAACAACACGAAGAACCCACCACAGATTTAACGTCAGCAATATTGTTAATTGCGATATAGAACCACATAAATATCGAGTCGATAGCTAAAAGTACCATTCCCACCTGACACAATGCTGAAAGAAAATTTAAAAACATACCTTTTTGCTAAACAAGGGAAGGATAAGAACCTAAGTTGTCTGCAAGCGATTAGTAACGTCTGTGACCTTTTGGATAACTCAAGGGCAGATAATCTTAGTTCATATACTAGATGGGAGTCGTTTCCCTTTGTATAAGCATATAGCGTAGAATCTACCTTGACCAGTGTATTAATATTATAGAATCGCTGAGCTCCCCCTGTATTTCTTTTGTGTCACGGGGCGGTCGGGTAGCCTAGTGGTTAAAGCATTCGCTCGTCACGCCAAAGACCCGAGTTCGATTCCCGAAGTGGGTACAATGTGTGAAGCCAATTTCTGGTGTGCCCCGCCGTGATATTGCTGGAATATTGCTAAAAGCGGCATAAAACCATCCTCACTCACTCACTCTTCTGGGTCACATTCATGGCAGTTCTTTTGTCTTTAGTTTATCATTAAATTAATCTACTATAAATACAAGTCGGACTGCAAAATCATACATGTTGAATTCTAAAATCGAGTGGGGAGGGGACAAGGGTTTTTATAAATGAATTTAAAAGAAAAATATACTACTATTCATCAAACAAACAAATACGCATGTTGAGACATTTGAAATGTGTGTAAAATATCCCATGAATAGCAAAAGTAAAATTCACTCCTTTTAAAAATAATTATCAATATAATTAATACCCAGTGAATATATATTAAACAACTGTTTTCTCGAAACATTATTCATTATTATTATTTCCTGTCCATGCATTCTTGAAATCCTTTGTCTTTCTGTGTTTTTAAAGGTAGTCATAACATCCTTTGTTATAGCAGCGAAGCAAAAACAGGAGGGATATATTTAGTATTTTACGGAAAGCTCCCCCTAATTGATGACGATCATACATTTACTTGTTATGTTAATAGGACATATTATTATTATTCATATAAATTTTCATAAAGAATGTATGTATTCGTATTTCAATTCTTCAAAACATGAGTAGGTATTTCTCTAATTGCGATATCAAACAATTCCTAAATCACGACAGTATTAATGCCAACAAAAATATATACCATCATTCTAGTAATCATTTCAATCAAATAATTGGGGCCTTAATCTGTGCAAGGTGCGATGGAGGCAGGTACTGTTGTGTGTCGTTATCGGTTCCATTACTGTGTGCACAACAAACTATGCGCCTTTGCAGAAAACTAAAGACAGGAGTTGAGTTTTAGATAATTGTACTGCCACCGTTGAAGGATTCGATTTTAGCTAAAAGCGCAATCTTAAATCCAAGCCGTCTTACAATTGCGCTAAGATCGGTTTGTGCAAGTGGAATAGGACAATTGTATGGTGGTTGTAAAGTTGATTGTAGGCGCCAATGATCAGTTGTAACTAAGAGTGTTCTGTGCAAGTGGGCCCAGGACTGTTCTTATACTTTGCCTTTCTTCAAGACTGTTCTGGAAAATAACAAATTTTGTTGAATCATTAAAATCATTTGTATTATTACCAAAACATGGTTGTCATAATCACAGCCCATTACCATTTTATTACACATTCTACCATGACTTTGAAACACGCGATTCTCATCGGTCAGTCATTAGTTTCAAATCACAGTATCATACCTCTGATATCCTCAAACAGATAATTTGATCTTGCCTCACTGTGGAAGCAAATGTTAACATGATTAAGGAGGGCACGGGTGGCCTAGTCGTCTTGGGTGCCACGATTCACTGTGCAGAGTTGCGTCCCTCAGGCACGCCAGAAACCTATGATTGTGGAAACCTATGAATCCCGGTTTCGCCCCGATTATGTTTCTAGGTTTATCAGCACCAAACCCGTGCTCATGGCTTTCACCGAAGTGGTAAACGTCTGAGACCTGCATCACTCCCGGCTTTCCTCCCACATTAAGCTGGCACGCCGTGATATAACTTGAAAAATGTTAAAAGTGGCGTTTAACCCAACTTACTCACTAAGTTGATTAATGATTAATGAATGATTAATGTGAAATACTATCTCAATCATGGCCAGTAGTCACTATAATGACATACTCAAATATAGGTGCCAAATATATCTCTCTCTCTCTCTCTCTCTTTCTCTCTCTCTTTCTCTCTCTCTCTCTCTCTCTCTCTCTCTCTCTCTCTCTCTCTCTCTCTCTCTCTCTCTCTCTCTCTGTGTCAGATAAAATGTGTATGTCATGGAGTATAACGTTGTTTCCGTACCGCAGGTACCCTACCCGACATAGTTGCTGAGGGGGTGACAAGGGGGCTGTACTCCCCAGGAGATGCTGGCTGCCCAAGATGACACAGACTCGCCATCATATTGAATCATACATTGTGTTGGTCACCAAATTCCTTGTGAAAAGTGGAAGAATTTTTTATTTCTAAGTTTTACCGATATTGGAGGAAGTTTTGTGTTATGTGACATGACTCTTTGTACATGTGTTTGTCTTTGTACTTTGCTTTCCACACATTTAGTCTCTTCAAAGATCAAAAATGAACTCTAGCGGGATTATTTTGCTAGCCCTGCAAAAGGTTACTAGTCCTTGTCAATGAAAAAACTTTCAAATCTTTAAGAACTCGAAAGGTTATGCCAAATGTCTTGCAGAGCGATTTGGGCAATCAAGAGAATGATAGGTAATTCACAGCATGTGCCAAAAAGCTAGGAAACCCTATGTGCAAGTAGAATTATAATTTTATTAGTCTGAGGTAGTTTCTACTAGCCTCTTTATAAGAATGATTTGTTTGAAATATGGTCACAACCAGGTCAGCCAAACGGGTATTTTACCTCGATTTGATTACTGGAGGAGTTGATGCATACCGTAATCGTTGCAATAAGCACCCTGTTCCAATGAGCTCCCCTGATCCTCTTCTAGACCAGTCTGTGAGAAATGTTTGTATGTGGACCCTACTAAAACTAACCCTTTACATGACAGTCCATATTTGTTGGCATAAAGAAAAATGTTTTTACAGAAAACAGTAGTACCAGCAGGGGTATATATAAATGTCCACCGGGTAGTAACGTTTATGGAAAAGCTTCACCTCTGAAAACAATTTAAATTGTTATGTATAGTTTAAATAAAGCTCCCACCTTTGTCAGTTTTATTAGTGCCAGGGCACTTATTATGAAGGATACACTATCAACAAATTCTTGTTATGAGGATTAACATGTGTAGAACAAATGAATATTTTATTTAACTTAACTTGTTGATTAAGTGTTCTAGTTCTGTACCGCCCATAGGACTGACCATCTAATACTCCCATTATTTTAATTCAGCACTTTAAGACATTTCATTCTTTGAAAGGGGGCACGGTTGCCCGAGTCGTCTTTGGCGCGGCGATTCACTGTGCAGAGTTGCTTCCCCCCGATTATGTTTCTAGGTTTGTCAGCACAATACCCGTGCTCGTGGGTTTCACCGAAGTGCTAAACGTCTGAGACCTGCATCACTTCTGGCTTTCAACCCACGTTTAGCTGACACATCACGATGTAACTGGAATACTGTTAAAAGCGGTGTTAAACCCAACTCACACACTCATTCTTTGAAACGTGGAGCCAGACATTTTTGTTTTGCCCCACAACACATTATTTTATTTTCAGAACGTGTCCAGTGAACAATTATGTGTGTTGTGTAAACTGGAGGATAATTGTTGCTGGTTGCCCACTCCCCATTTAGTCATGTCAATCACTGGATTGTCTGTCCAGACTCGATTATTTAGAGACTGCCGTCCTGTAGCTTTGATTTTGAGGAGTGGGACGTTAAATAACAAACAAACAAAATAATGTCATTCATAACATATACAAAAGTCCAACAAAATTCCATTTCACGATTTTTAGCGTCTTCTCTAGTTTGCTGCCTGAACGTTTGTTTTAAGATACTGCTCTGACATGCCGCACTACTTCTGTGTTTGCTGGCCGGCCCAAAGTCTCCCGAGGTGCTTTTGTCAATCAATGTTGAATCAGTCTGCTGTGCTGCTATTGATGCAATCGTGACATGTTGTCTACCCATACTAATACTGGCAATTACTGGGGCGGTCGAGTTGCCTAGTGGTTAAAGCATTGGATCGTCACGCCGAAGACCCAGGTTCGATTCCCGACGTGGTACAATGTGTGAAGCCCATTTCTGGTGTCCCCTGCCGTGATATTGCTGGAATATTGCTAAAAGCGGCGTAAAACCATACTCACTCACTCACTGGCAATTACTCTTTGTCACTTGAAATATGACCGTCATTTGCCAATCTGCATCTATGCCTTACTGACAGATCTATTCTTATGTTTATTGAGCAATGGTTTCCACCAGAGTGGTAACTGACTACAAATGTCTCCACTTCCCTCCACAGTAAGCAGACATGTTACTGGAATACTGTTCAAAGTGGCATTAAAATCAACTCACTCACTCACTCATGAGGCAGTCAGGTAGCCTGGTGATTGCGTTTGTTTCATTGTTTTTGTCAATAAATTGTTACTTGAATCATGCACTGATAAAATACAGCGATGTAATTTGACTTGTTTTGTTTACTTTGGTTATTTTTCTTGACTTACTTCCAATGTTGTCTGACTGCCACTGTAGTCCAGTGGATAGAGCATCTGCTCCAGCAATGGAAGGTCGGTGGTTCGCTCCTTCAGCTGCATCATACCAAAAGACGGTAAATGATGGTACTTGTGTCCCTGCCTGGTGCGACCCATGAAGATCCGTGGTAGAATAGGTATTCAGCAACCCATGCTTGCCGTAAAAGGCGACTAACGGGATCAGGTGGTCAGACTCCCTGACTTGGTTGATGTATGTCATTGTATCACAATTGCATGGATCAATGCTCATGATGTCAATTGTCTGGTCCAAACTCGATTATTTACAGACCATCGTTATATAGCTGGAATATTGCTAAACAACAAATAAACAAAAATCTTGCCTGGTGCTCGGTACTAAGGGTAATGAAACACTGCCTTGTCTGCTTGAAGTCAGTACATTGTGTGTGGTGTATCCATGTTAAGCTTAAGCGTAGTATATCAGTGGGCTGAGATAATGCATGCACGAGTGTGAAGGGGTGATTAGCCCTAACGATCGTGAAGGGATGTTTGATCGGCAAGGGGTACCTAACTCAAATGATCGTATACAGTATAAGCATACAGTTGGGCGTAACCTTCTATGACAGAAGGATCGAAGAGTCATGCGAGATCTGTGAAGCTGCGTCCTGTAAACTGCATTGTTACTTAGTCCTGACTTATGAGATGTTATGTTCTAGCTTGCAGTTACACCTCTAAATTGTCTAGTCCAGACTTGCAGAGATTGTTACATGAGTTGGTGTGTTTTACTGAGTTTAATAAATGTAACAATGTTTGTTTTTCCTGAAGCAATCATGTTTATATTAAACATTTCCTATTGATTTTTTTTCCAAGGACCATCATCTTCGTTCTGCAACTGGTAAAATTTTTCACCTTTTTCGGCATATATGATATTTTAGATAAACATGCCACTGTTACTTCATGGATTCAGATACTGTCCAAACAAAAACACATAATAGAATGAAATTATTTATTCAATCAAATGTACACGCATTCACAATACAAGTGTGTACATGTGTACGCCAGTAAACAAAGGGAGATAACTTTGTAAAGGTGGAAACAACTTGTGAATACAGATGTGAGAATGGACATGTAGAGGAATCGGGCTGGGATTTCTATCTACATTTCTAACAAATACTTGCATGTAACATGAATACAAACGTAAACCACTTGCTTTTCAGATTACAGTCATAAGGTCATTTCGAAACTTAGAAAAATCTCATCCTGTAAGCCTGAGAAACATTGAAGCAAATATTTAATAATGACACAGGATCCGAATAATATACATCTATGAATGTCTACATAATTCAAGTCCAGATATGCAAATAATAAATGTAACTAGTTTCTCATTAACATTCTACCTCCACTAGACTATTTACTCATCTATGCACTAATTAGGTAACTTAATATTAGATATAAAAACATCAGAACACTGATTACTAATAATTATGACCTGAAGATAGACATGATAAAGTAAATATAAATCATATTGCCCATGTGGGAATTAAATTAAGAAAGAACTTTCCTCATGTAAACATTTCAGTGCTATGAAGCCTCTGTCAACAATGAAGGATATTGACACTTCATGTTTCAAATCTGGGCAAGTGATGGAGAATTGGTATCATCAATATTTAGTTCCACTATATCTTTGTGAAATCCAAACTGAAAAAGATTCTTGCTGGAATGTCGCAAGAATAACAGCAAGTTTATACAGCTCAGCTGAATATGTGCAGTGACTATAACCATCAACACATTCATATTACATACATGTTCATAACAAGGTGACGCTTCAATGGAAGTTCAAGACAAATACTTCTACACCACAGGTGTTTAAAAAGATACCAGAATTTATTTGTCAGCATCACTGGTGCCTTGTACATATATATTTTCTTCAAACAATTCACACACGGAGCAAGAGCCTAAAGAACTGCACTGACAATACAAACAATTAGTAAAGTTCAAATTCACATATATCACTTGACCCACTTTCACACTATGTAAGAATATAAAAATCCTGCATGATGATATATTATGATGAAGCATCTTTGTGAATACTGCAAGAAAACCAGTTGGAGAAAATCTACATAAGTCCAACTCTTTATGTCTGGGAAATGGAGTGCATAGACCCCACACCTCCATCACTCCAAGAAGTTCAAACAATATGGAGACCTTATGTCATAAGTCGTAACTATGTCATGACATGAGTCTCCATAGCAATGAATAGTCTCATGCCTTGACAACATGACCTGTTTCTCCGGATGATCATCACATAACCAGATGACAAAACAGCCCCTGCATCAACCTACCGGTACTATCCTTGTCATCCCTTCTTGGCAGTATACCGGACAGCAATACTTCAGTGTGTGTTACACAGTGTTAGAAATTGGCACTAGTCCTATAGTCCTTGCCAAACTGCCCAATGGTTAAGGTATCATAAGGTTAGTAGAAATTTTCCATTTTAAGGGTTTTGCTATATGTTATCATTATAAGGACGAATGGACTAAAACTGTTAGTTTCTACCGCTGGTTACACCTAGCTGGATCTCTGAAACTGGTCTAGCAGTATTCTCCTAAACCATCCTACATATGCTATTAATAAGCTAAAGCAAGATGCATCCATTAATTACCTCACTGCCCGTACAATATCCATCAAGGATCATTTATCTATATATATTAGAGAATGTTTGTAAAATTCGTTTCAGATTCAAACATGATTCATAAGTGCCCACATCCAACTTCTCCAATTATCAGAAAAACAATCAACTTCTATTTCCTTGAAAACGATAAACCGTTCTATGTGCTACACACTTCTGGATATCATGGTACAATATATACAGGTTCATAAAACAAATGCAGTATGGAAAGCTCCACTACAGAACTGTGAAAAATATGATCAACAACAACAACAACAACCATTCTCACATCATTTCAAATGATACCTTGGTTTTAAACGTGATCAAATATTTGAACAATTCTGGTATGTCCAACAGACAGAGTTTGTCCAAATCACTGAGTGACTAATCACAAGTGACCACGTAACTTGATTGGATTAACCGGTCCAGAATTGATTATGCTGAAAAAAGAGTTGAACAACAAACCAATATCTTGCTGATGCAGGAGGGGCTTGTGGACCTGGTCTATTTTTTTTAAAAACAAAGGTACCATTCAATGTCTGTCACTTTCTCACTCCTTCAGACATTCTGTATAAATATACAGTGGAGCAGGCGATCCTGTCAGCAATATCATGATCCACTGAGAGGTATGGTTGGTTGGCATTGCACGCCACCATCAGCTCTCAAGGTTGACAATAACAAGCTATAGAACTACTATTAGCCCATTAGTTGTAGGTACCTGGAGGGCTAATAACAGTTCCAGCTTTTGAAGGTGTTTCCTGGCTTTACCACTACTGGTTCCAGTGAACGTGTAGTTAGCGATATTCGTAGGAGCTGGCTCCACGACGGACCTTACTGCTCTAGTTTGGAATCCTACACAGCTTCACAGGCCCTTCCGCCGTGTCTTAAATATTTTGAAATCAATTAATATTACGAGTGTCAGAAATGCACTATCCTATACTTTTAACTTTATTGATCTAGACATATTTAAGCAATGACAAAGAGCCTGTGCTTCAACTGGGGTATAGTTAAAAAACATGAGATCACTAACAGTTCCTTTAGTTTAAACTTTCAGCATAATATGTGGAGTTACATACTTAAAACACATTGCATATTTACAAATAGTCAAGAAATTACAAATTTATAACATTTACATGACCTTTATGTTCCTGACATAATAAAATACTAATGACTCCAAGATATCTATATGAAGAAGTTTGAAGAGAAAAAATGTATAAATAAAAACTCCAAATTTGAAAGCAAGGTTGTACAGAGAGCAGTATGACGAATCAACAGCAATAGCTCATATGAAGGGTAGCATTGATACAGTGTAGGTTACACTGAACAAGGAGGTCACTGGCTGAAATACACACCCTTCAAATGTTGGAACAATTGTTGACCAGATATTAACACCTTCAATATATATATGAACATATATCTGAAGTGTTATGATGCAAGTCAATAATTATTTTCACAAAAATTGAATTTTGGAACATGTGAAACGGTGGCAAAATAAATAGTTAAAATTTGAATTAACCTGAACCATGCTAAAACAATCCAGTCATGTCTTCCAACTGACACATTTTAGACCTTAGTCAATAGCAGTAGAAATTACTTCACTAAAATCTGTAATAGCGTACCTATTTACAATTTCAACAAACACGATAAAAGGTATAATATATAAACAGAGAGAGAATTTATGAACACAAAGCAACATTATCAGTCAATCATAAGACCCAGAAATTTGTAACAATTATGAAAATAATAGTAACCATTGCGACACTATTGTAAATTCTCCCTCTGTTTTCTAGCAATCTGATATTTTAAAATGATCACAATCTGTAGAGATCTCCAACTTCCCTCCAATGTTGCGGAATGCCTAGACTGATGTAAGGAGGTGAATCTAGGCCAACTTAAAGAATGGTATCTGTTATTGAGATTGTTCTCTCTGATGTCGCATTTTCCATTTTATCATAAGGGTGAACCATGGATCTCCCTGAACTGGTACACCATATAGCTAGTGTTTTTGTACAAAACATTTCTTTAAATATGTTCTTACAAAGTTTGAATTTTGTATTCCAGAACATCTATATTTACTTGTTCCATAATTTATTTCTGTAACACTATGACGCCTGAGAACCTCTTGATGTACTGTGCCACTTAAGCTCGAACATTTCTCTGCCTTACTTCATCCTTGCCCTTGTGGTCTGCAGCATTAGCACTGAAACATAAGGGCATCAAGTCAAACAACAATTCCTAACACTGATACCATTAGCATAGAAACAGTGGCATCAACATGATCAAGGCAAACATTATTCCTAAATCCAATACCGTCAGCATAGAAACAGTGGCATCAAGTCTAACATTATTCCTAATTCCAATACCGTCAGCATAGAAACAGTGGCATCAAGTCTAACATTATTCCTTATTCCAACACCGTCAGCATAGAAACAGTGGCATCAAGTCAAACATTATTCCTATTTCCAATACCATTAGCATAGAAACAGTGGCATCAAGTCAAACATTATTCCTTATTCCAATACCGTCAGCATAGAAACAGTGGCATCAAGTCAAACATCAACTCCTAACTCCAGTATCAAGAAAACAAAACTGACTTAAAAAGGGAAACTCAAGGATTTTGTTTGGATGTAACAAGTTTTCATGCGATATAATTCGGGATTAGAGACTCTTTTTGATTGCCAATCACCTTACATGTATGTCTGTTATCATGCTTCTAAAGATGACTGATCAACATACTGACATTGAGGAAATTAGAGGCTTGGGTTTATATTTCATCAAGGTTGTATCATCACACTTGAAAAGTAAAGACTTTGGGGAAGGCAGGTAAGGCCATTGCTTAAATTTAAGATGACAACGACTTTGATCAGCATGATCAGCATATGATTATGACAATGACTATGATCAGCACACGATTATGACGAGGACTTCGATCAGCATGCGATTATGACAAGGACTTCGATCAGCATACGATTATGACAAGGACTTCGATCAGTATATGATTATGATGAGTACTTTGATCAGCATATGATTATGACAAGGATCTAACATATAAGCCCATGAATATTCCCCATTGCCTTTGGAGGAAAGTTGTAAATATAAAAATACTCACGAGTTTGCTGCATCAGCATCATTGACCTCATCCTCAGATTTGCTGCGCTTCTTTTCGTAAATGAAGATGATGATGCACAGGACAATCACTTCAGCAACAATGCCAAGGAAGGGCCACAGTGCAGCCAACTTGTCTGCAAAAGACAACACAGACCCTTACTAAAGACGCTACATATTTTACAGATCTTAGGGAGGGGACTAAGTGAATATTTCAATATGGCCGTCACAGTAGACATGTCAAAACCTGGATCTAGGATCATGATTTAATGGACAGTACATGCAGATAATCTAGCTTCATTACCCCTTCAATTCTCCACATTACCTATCATGGACCAGCGTTACAGAGAATTACTGCATGAAACTGCATTATGATATCAGTGTGTACATACCCTTGACTCGGACAACAATGGTGCCATTGGCCGATTGGTTGAAGTAGGAACTGTAGGCGAGACACATGTACTTTCCCTTGTCATCAAAGTCCACTTTAGCGATTTGCAGCATGCCGTCTTCGTTGTTGCTGTGGTCGTCGACCGTCACTACAATTTTCTTGTGATCCTCAATGCGGACATCATCCTTGAACCAGGTGATGGCAGTGGCTGGGAAGCCGACAACGTCACAACGGAGAGTCAGGGGATCCCCCTCAATCAGGTTCTTGGACTTGTCAAACTTGCGCACATAGGGTGCAGCTGCAATTACATGGAATGTTACAACAAGACCTGGTTGTTTGTCAGCTGGAAATACAGTAGAATCTATCAAAACTGGATACTGATCAATAATAATATGCAGACACTGTCTCTCTCTTTGTATCTCCATGTAGACAGTTGTAACACTAACAGTAATATGCAGACACTGTCTCTCTCTTTGTATCTCCATGTAGACAGTTGTAACACTAACAGTAATATGTAGACACTGTCACTTTGTATCTCCATGTAGACAGTTGTAACACTAACAGTAATATATAGACACTGTTTCTTTGTATCTCCATGTAGACAGTTGTGACACTGACAGTAATATGGGGTACTGTCGCTGTATCTCCATGTGAACAGTTGTAACACTAACAGTAATATGTAGACACTGTCACTTTGTATCTCCATGTAGACAGTTGTAACAGCAATCATGACTATCATTTGGAAGGCAGGGTTGCTGGATCAAAGTGAATGATATACCATGTATGATAGATAATGTTTTTGGAAATGATGTAACGAAAACAAGACTAGTCATCTTTCAGTCTGAAATAACATCAGCATGATCAGTGAGTGAGTCTTTATGTCAACTTTTAGCAATATTCCAGCAACAAAATGGCAGGGTACACCAGAAATGACAGCATAAAGACATTATGCCCATGTGGGGAATCGAACCTGGGGCTTTGGTGTGACAAGTGAACACTTTAACCAAGAGGCTACCCAACATAACATTAGACCAGTAAATACACTGATCATGCCAATATGGTATTGTCAGATGGAGATGTGTGCTCACCAATCACACACGCACGCACATGACCAACACCTGTATGAAGTCTATACATGAAACCAGCATGCACTTAGTAGTGTTCCAGTATCACGCTCACCCTGATCAAAGCTAAAATAACTTACCATAGAAATTAACAGGGACCTTGGCAACTTGAGAATTTTCCTTGAATGTGAACACACAGAAATACTCGCCACAATCATTGCGAACTGGAAATAAAATGAACAAATCTGGATTAAGATTTACCTATATTTTAAGATTTGTGATTGATGTCAGCATGATGATGGTGGTACAATCTTCACATGTTAATAGACCCCCGGAATCATCAATACTGTGAGTCTGTTGTATAAAATACTGATTCAACAACTTAATGACTATCTGTAATTAACCGTAAATCAGTTCATTGTCACTGACAATTACGTAAGACTTTGGATCCTAGAAACACAAGTAAACAAAAACACATGTTATCATGCCTAAAACTTGACTATTCTGAAACAGCCTGGAGCAGAACCTACTTGGATCAATGACGACAAGGCTGTTGTTGGCTTCAAATATGTCATACTTGTCATCTTTCACCAGCTTTTTGTCCCCCTTTCGCCAGTGCATGGTGTATTTCTCTGGAGCAATGTTGGTGGCCATGTTGCAGGCCAAGGTGGCACTATGCATGTTCTTCACATACTCACTGTTTGTGGTTGTTACTGAAACCAAAACGTATAACACATAATCCTGATTACAGTATTCAACGTAATAAGCACCCAGGGTGCTCTCAAAATAAGAAATAGAGGGATCTTATTAGAATATTATTTGGATGAAAAAGTTGAAAGATCGTAAATTTTGTGTTTTATGTTTACAGCCTGAAATGATACAAAAGAAAAGTCTGTGCGTATCATACATGACATATATTTTTCCAGAATTTAATCTTTGTAATTAAGCGTGCATATAACACGAGTGCGTATTATACATGAATAAATAAGTCCTGTGTACATTGATCAATCGGAAGGGTGCTAATTGGGATTGTTCACTAGCCAATATATTAGTAAATATCGCCGTGGGCGCTTATTACGTCGAATATGGTATAAACACACGAAATCCTACAGACAACTAAACTGTGGTTAAGAATCAATACCACATGTGTCTAAAGCTGATAGCTTTTCTGTTAGAATGCAATCTCGAATCAATCCAACTGAACAAACAACATGTTAATCCATCTGGGAAATAGTAAGACAGTTGTAAACATTTTCTCTCTCATTATGTTGGAACTCCCAAAGACATACACCAATGTCATTAAAATCAGTTCTTATTTCTCACAACAAAGATCTGAGGACATCCCATTACGGGTCACGCCAGAACAACCCTCCATCAGTTTGGCACTAGTCATATCATGCCTATAGTCCTTGCCAAACTGCCCAATGGTTAAGGTATCATAAGGGCTAGTAGAAATATTCCATTTTTAAGGGTTTTGTTATATGTTATCATTATAAGGACTAGTGGACTAAAAATGTTAGTTTCTTCTGCTGTTCATCCGACCAAACTTGGGACTAAGTTATTAACATCTAAATCTGCTATTTAAAATGTTCAATCTGTAAATCTCATACGGCTAGAGACTACACTGCTGACAGACTAAAAATTAAATTTAAGTTTCAGTCATATGGAAAATTAGAAGTCACCTGCAACAGCATTTTAAGATGGCTGAACTAAAGTCAGTGCTTACAAAATACATAATATTGACTGGAGCCAAGTAAGTTAAAACATTTTGATTACCCAAATAAAAGTTGAAATACCCAATGGAAACGATTACCTGTGAGAAAATACTCAATAGCTAAAAAACAAAGCAAAGCAAAGATAATATTCTTACCATTTAAAACCATCACTGTTATGGTTCTGTCTTGCGCTCCTGTCAGTTTACATCTATACTCATCGGAATCCGCAGAGCTGGTTGAGGTTTTCTGAATAGACACCAACTCTGTCTGGTGGCTTCCGTCCCCTGGGATGTAACTCATCCTGGTGACCACATTGAATCCTGCATCAGCGGCCTTCTCAGCCCCTTTATACCACACTACATCTACCGTCCCCTCGGTAGTATCTTGACCGCTGCAGGTCAAGTTGAGGCCATTTGGAGCCACCACGTACAGTGTAGCATAGTTGGGTTCTATGGTTAACTCGCATTGCACTGAAACACAATTAACAAGTGAAATAAGCAGGAAACAAACATCAGAAGGGAGGCATGATAAACCTGGGGAAGGCCTTGGGGTATATTGTTGAGTATCTAATTTCCATAACCTTTATTCAGTCCTGTCTGTTGATTTACAAATAAATCGTGAGGGAAAAGCCAATGTCACCAACATGATCAAGGCAGGGCTTGAAAAATTTCTTTAACCCAACTTGTCCTGTAGGGCAATTAGATATTATTTCGCACTCGGGCTGCAATATTTGCACTTTTAAGTTTTATACAGTTATATGTTCTCAGTTATTATTACCATATCTGTAATTAACCTTTGAGTTGAGGGTATATATGACAGACAATACATTCACCATGTTCACAGACATCTACATTCATCTCTGTCCCTTCAAGTCACCCAGATGTGAACATTTTGTTTACGTTAATATCGCTTCTTGCTGTTTGTCATTCTCTTGAAAATGTTTTATAAACTGTAAATTTCTCATTTAACTTGTCAATTGAGACTTTTTCGCAAAGTGCCATTTTTACTACTTGACCAGCGTGTATTCCTTTGCTTCCAACAGAGGTCTTGTAGCTTTCAAAAATATTTTTGGGGGGTCAAAGGACATCCTCCAAACAAGAGGATTCCTTTCTAACAAATTTTGAATGGAGGTTTGGGTAATTTCACTTTAAAAACATTCCAGAAACTATCATAAAAAAAGTTAATGTGTACACTTTCCACTTTTGAAAATATCTCCTCTCCACCGTTTCTCGATGAAATGAACATGATATTTCGCTTGACACATGAAATATCCTCTATATTTCCCCAAGTAAAATGATGAAAGAAATGGACTTTGACACTTCAAAAGACAAAGAGGAATGGCCCAAGGCTTACTAAATATCAACCCAGGCTTAGCAAGGATTTAGAAGAGGGTTAAGGTTTAGTGTGACTTTCAAGGAAATATTGTGAAGATAAGTGGCTCTTGCTGGTGTGCAAAATATCTACCCTCTTCGCTTTACGTACACCGACAGGGAGTGTTACACTGCACACAGCATATCCCATGGACCTAGGCTAATATATGTGTGCCGTGTGTACAATATATAAGCACTCTGATGTCTTTCACGTTACTGAAGCGTGATTGACACGGTGGGGGGATGTATATCAAACTGGCTATTTCTGGTTATAAACACACAATGCATAAACACGGTGCGTAATATGTGACTCGGTTGGATCAGCTGATTTCAAGCCACGGAATCTGACCTTGGCTTGATTTCATATCGCTGTTATAAATGGGCTTTGAAGAATGTACTCACCATAAACGGCACTTAAAACCACGGCAAGTGGTGCTAGAAGCTTGAATAATTTCGCCATTGCGTACTGATCGAAGACTTCAACACACAACTAGGTATTTGAAGGCTGTTTCCACTATTCGTCGTTCCTTGTATGCTTTCGACGATTACTTCAGCGACAATGGAGGAGGAGCTTCGTGCGCATGCGCGAATTTCCCACAACTTACACCCTGTTTCATAAAAACGAACCTCATCTTCAATGCAGATCTAATTATGTTAATTAGGCATACACAAGGTCTAACTTCACAAGTCTCAAAGGGATTATATACACGTGTCTTTATGTAGAAATGATTTCTTGTAGACACACCTAGACTAAAGTACATATTAAATGGCTTAGATCCTCAAATGTTTTACAAATCAGAAACGAGAACTAACTGGCCCACTTAGGGTTCAGACGACTTGGGTAATCAGCTGTTGACCTCTATTTACCGTTTACTCCATTTTCCTTGTGAACTCTTCAACGACATTATTTGATATATATGGTAATTGTTCTTGAATATATCTTAACTGTGTAACCTATGAATTTCGCATTTAATGCAGATGATCTAGTTTACAATGTAATGACCCATAGGAGTAGATAGCTGTACACAAATATTTTTTATTGACCCATGTCTCCCACCTATGAAACAGAATTAGGGTCGCAATATATCTTAATATATGGAACAGGCCTAAACGCTTATTCAAAGTATTGCGGTCAGAGTGTGTGGTAAACTGTGCTATGCATGGCGTCCCGTGCAGCTTCTACGTGCAGAACTTGGGTATAGTAAAGGTTGCTATCGAGCGTTTATTCCACGCGCTGCTTAATCATGAACGTGGATATTTTTTAGCGCAACTGGTTTTTTTTACATATCATATGTATTAGTACTGATTGGTAGGCGTGGCACTGGTCTCGTTTGCGGAAAGGGATTTCTATTATGATGTATTTAGCTCACGTGGTACTTTATGTCTTCTAGCCTTTGGGTGTCACTCGATTGCACCCTTTAATTGTAATATCCCACTGAGGCATGTGTATTCGTCATCAGGACTATGTGTGTGAGAGTTGATAATGGAACGAATCATCTTTACAGTAATGAGGAGTATTTCATTTATATCACAGCGTGTCAGCTTAATGTGAGGGGAGTATTCACATAGGATATGATGACCTTGGTGAAACAAAGCACAGTAGGTATGATGTTGGCAGACCAAGGATCATAGGGATCATAATCAGGACGTGTCTGGGATCCGAACCCATCACCAGCGGACCCTGGCAAATAGAGTGGGCGGAATTCTGCTGAACCAATTGCGGCGTCTTAATTTATAACCAGTGGTCCAGTCGTGCCTTCGCAATCCCTGTGAGGTGATGTTAGTTTCAAGTGACTGCAGCTATTAATATACAAGACCACGTACAGAGTGTCTTGGCATAATATGCTGGCATTTCTATCGGTGTTGCAATCGTCATAGCGTTATAATTACTTGTAGAGAACTTGTGAAAGGGCTATCCTCTCTCTCTTCCTGTGGTGTCTCCCCCACCACCGTTCTCTCTCTCTCTCTCTCTCTCTCTCTCTCTCTCTCTGTCTCTGTCTGTCTCTCTCTCTGTTCTGTGTCTCTGTCTGTCTCTCTCTGTGTTCTGTGTCTGTCTGTCTGTCTCTCTCTCTGTGTGTTCTGTGTCTCTTTTTGTCTGTCCGTCTACCTCTCTCTCTCTGGTGAATAAAGTGCGACTCTATGTAGCTATTTGTATGTGAGATAAGCGGCGCATGAACGTCAGAGGACAGGCGGACTGATGTGACACATACTAATGTGACCATGTGTGGTGCTCAACACAGGAAGGATCCGGCCGACGGGAATCTCGCAAACACACTACAAAGGTTGAATCCGCCATTACTTACAGCTACTCACAACCATAAGTTCTTGAAGCAGTTTGCATACAGCGATCAGCAGGAACGAAGGTTGACACCAGAGACCCTAAAACAAACTTATTTTATGGTCTCTGTTGACACAAAACGTGATCTTTTCTAATGGATATTTATTCGGGTACTGTCTTCATAACAGCCCCAAACTAATCCAATCTTATGTTGACGAAAAAACCGAAATGTTACCAGTAACGAAAAACGTAGCTTTGGCATATCCGATGTTCACAGTGTCAATTGAAAACAGTATGATAAAATATGTTTATGGATGTCAACTTCTTTATTATTAGGCACACACCGTGTCGGAGTACATACTTACTCCTTCATTAGGTGAATGAGTGAGTGAGTATGGATTTACACCTCTTTTATCACGGCGGTGGACACAGAAAAATGGGCTTCACACATTGTACCCATGTCGGGAATCGAACCCGGGCCTTCGGGGTGACGATCGAACGCTTTAACCACTAGGCTACCCGACCGTCCCTCAGGTGAATGAGAAAGCACATACTCCGAAACGTCGCGTTCCTAATAATAAAGAAGTCGACATCCACAAATTCTCTTCTTATGAGTATCACTTCTAAATGTCACTCAAAGACAGGGGCACGGGTAGCCCAGTCGTCTAAGGCGCCGCGATTCTCTGTGCAGAGTTGCGTCCCTTGGGCACGCCAGAAACCTATGATTGTGGGTTCGAATCCCGGTTCGCCCCGATAATGTTTCTAGGTTTGTCAGCACCATACCATGTATACCATGAACAAAGTTGTCTGCAAAGGACTGTAAATGCAAAGTGTTATTTATGAACTTTAGACTGTCAGAACTCATGCGCCTGTTAAGCTACTCCCTATCATGTATAGCACAATGGAAGCACTTTATAACACTCTGTCGGGGGTCAGCGAGTCCTGTCATATAGTATAGTCTATTTCATCATACGATCTGCAAACCTGCGAATACTGCATAGATGGAGAAGTCGTTTTGCTGACAAGCTGTATGCCGCGTCACATGCCCTCTTAGACTAACATTTAGTCTCTGAAATCTTATATTACACAATATCCTTCTTGACTCTAAAAAAATTAAAAAATCCTTATGCTGATTTGTGGAATAGAGCTAGCTTGAGTTGGCTAGACTTGCTTTTGTATGCATTTCTAGATTATTATTTTTTCATAAAATAAATATATTCCACGGTCATGGTGCAGGACTAGCCCCCTGTAAACCCACCTCCACTCTTGTTTATAGTATTGTAGGGACGATGTTTTGTCACGGTAATCATGTGAGAGGGACTACTTTCAAGACCTGCTTGGATCTTTTATATTTAAGACCTAGATTTTACAGCTGAATTCTAATAACATCCTTTTAATGTGCATCTACTGGTTAAAAGTCACAAATATTTTCAAATGAAAATTCCATGACGTGAATAGAACCTGCAACATGTTTATTGAAACCCACTGTTTTCCCTCTAAACCAACGTTGCACGTGATGAAAGGGTGTTCAATCTTATATGCATGTTCTGACTTCAGTTGTCTCTTACCGCAGTCATGTGACTTCTATAAACAGTATTGTTTCACTATAATGCATCGTGATGTTGTCCTACCCTTTCTGGTATTTCTTGAATTAGGCGATTCTTAGGTTGGTTAAAACACGCCTCTAGTTTGTTTGAAAACCCCGGACTAGTGTTTTACCTATAACTTCAGAAATACACAATGCCTTTTTAGAAAGTGGTCAAATGTCACAAATATCATTTTTGGGATTACACTTTCTTAGTATGGTACAAATTCGTGTACTTTTTTTTTGGGGGGGGGGGGGGGGGGGTTAAGACCCATTGGGGATTTAAAGAGTGAGTGAGGCACCTAATCGCAAGCTTACTTTACTAAAAAAGTGTAATCCCAAATATAACATTTGTTAAAGTTGTGTGATGGATAGAACACTCTGTGTTTATGTCTCCTAACAATATACAAAATACCCGTGAAGATCCGGGGTAGAATAGGTCTTTAGAAACCCTTTCCGTAAGATTCCGTTGGACGTGAATATCCAATGCATTTCTGAATTTCCTCTGTTACAAACAAAACATGCTATATATAATGGTTTTTCATTTATGTGTCTACTTGTATTGCGCTGACTGACTGACTGATATAGGAGATTTAACGTGCGCTTTCCGACTGTAGCGTATTTCGCACACGGGCCTGGCCGGGCCATTTAGTGTATTCCGAAAAGGGTGAAAGTGTTGTGTGCAACCCAAGAGGGGGCTTTAAGGGGTTGCTTATATTAAATTTTTGGAATTTTTAAATTTGGAATAAATCCCGAGGTGGGTGGAGGAGGGAACTAAGGGAGCCGGGTGAGGTGGGTGTTTGTATGTTTATTGTATTGCGCGTCAGATGTGTTCATATATATGTACGTGTGCCAGGTTGCCAGTCCTAATTCCTTCAAACAAAGCCCCCAGCGTTGATGCTACAGCTTGCATAATAGTCTATACACTTTGTGTTGTGACGATGTAGTTGTAGTGCACAACGGTGTACAATGACACGTGTTGGGTGGTGGTTGACAGGGGGTGTTAATCTTGTAGATAAGCCGACAGCCGCGTGAGATTACGTACTGCTTAACCAATCCGAGTCTTAGCTCTTCCTGAAGCTAATACCGACCCATGCTGCGACGGTAATCCCTCTTGAAAATAACTTGAAATTTGTAAGTGTTCTTTAAGTGCCATTTTAATATCTGTCGTACCAATTAAGACACCATTGACAGAGATATCATGCATCACTAGCTTGATAAAGGTACCAGCATCAGTACTGAAACGTCGCACTGAAAAACGAAAGAAGTTGACTCTGTCTTCTTATGTAAGGTAATCAGGAATTCAAATCAGAAATAGTTGAAACAGAAAATGGAAATAAAAATGATTTTTCGTCAGGAAATGAGAATTCCGTGCATGTTTGTGATGGATATAACACTCTGTATTTATGTTTCCTACAGTATACAAAATACCCGTGAAGATCCGGGGTAGACTAGGTCTTTAGCAACCCTTTCCGTAACATTCCTTTGGACGTGAATATCCAATGCATTTCTGAATTTCCTCTGTTACAAAGGAATCTTCAGGGATTATATCTATTATGACTGCCCATTTGATACAATATCTATTATGACTGTCCATTTAATGCATAATCTATTATGACTGCCCATTTGATACAGTATCTATTATGACTGCCCATTTGATACAATATATATCATGACTGTCCATTTGATACAATATCTATTATGACTGTCCATTTA